AAAAGCTTCTAGCGATTATCTATATACTATAAAAATTACGATCTAAATTTAAAGGACTTTTTTAAAAGGATCGCTTTAAGATCTTTATAGATTATTAGTCTCTAAAGTACTTTATAACTACCTAATAAATAAATTAATAATAGATAAGATAGAGTGAATTTCCCTCCTAGTTCTATTTCCTAATTAAGTACCGATCTAGTAAAAAGAATATTATTATAGATATTCTATTATAAAAGGAAATACTATATACTAATAATAGCCGATAAATTATATTTCTACTTATAAAATATCTAGAAGAAAATATATAACTAAAAGTTAAGGTTAGTCCTATCGATCTAAAGGATATTTAACGCTAAGAGATTATAGAAACGGTAAAGTATACTAATAGATAGAGTATAGAACTGTAAAGGTATATAGTATTCAGGTGTACGGCCTATCAACCGGGTAAGATACAATGGCTATAGGAGGGGATCAATGTATTGTCTCTATATACCAAGACTAATTCTTATCAGAATTCAGGGGGGGCCCGGGGGGCCTTAGGATTTTAGGAAAATAGTATGCTAAGATATAGGGCCGATCACATAACGAACCCCGCTCGCTTCGGCCATGTCATATCTGACACGCCTATATTAGCTGATCCCGTTTCACAATTGAAAGGACCTTTATCCTTTATAAGAACTTATAGAGTTCCGCCGAATTACCGAAAACGGAGATAATAATCACTAGATATTATAAGATAGACTCCTCCTCTTTAAAGAACGACTTAAAGTTCCTAACGAAAGTAATCTATAGGCTAGATTACTTAATAATATATACTATTAGCCGATAATAGCCTATTTTAGTATTAAAAAACTAAAGAAAATAACTACTATATAATATTATTAGCCTAAATTAGTAAAGGATATAGAAAGATATATCTATAACTATCTAATATATAAATAAATTAAACCTTAGTATAATTAGACCCTAGGACTTCTATATCTACTCCCAATCCTTAAAAGACTTTAGTAGTATATTATAATAGATTTCTATTCTTTCTTTAGAGATTATTATAGCTATAATATAGTTTATATAATAATAGATCGTTTTAGTAAAAGACTAATCTTAGTCCTATATTATAAAAAGATAATAGCGAAGTAAATAGTAAGACTTTTTATCGATTATATATTTTAGAGTATAGATATATTTAATAGTATTATTTTAGACTAAAGTAGTTAGTTTATTTCTAAGTTCTAAGCGGAGTTCTACTAAATCCTAAGAATTAAAAGAAAGCTTTTTATAGCTTATTATCTTTAAACTAATAGTTAGAGTAAGATTATAAATTAGTATATAATATAAAGATTAAAGCTATATATAGAATTTAATTAGAATAATTAGTTAAAATATTTACTAATAGTTAATTTTATTATATCGATTTTCCTATAAAAGATAATAAAAGAATTACTTTTCTTTATTAAATAAAGATATAAACCTTTTATATTATTTAATTAGAGAGACTAAAGAACTATAATATAGAATAAACGAGAAGCTATTAATATATTAATCTAGCTTTATAATATCTAGAATAAGATAAAGTAGTAGATTACTAATTTTTAATAGAAAATAATTTAATAGATAAATAAGCGATAATAGGACGAAAACTTTAATATCGGAGGTTATATTTTTATAATAATAAAAGATTAGATATTAGATCGGTCTAGCCGAAAGCTTTTATATCTTATTAGTAGTTTATATAAGATTCTTAAAAAGGTTAGAAATATATATTAGATCGACCTATCTAATTCGATCTAAATATATCTAGTATTTAATCTAAATAAACTTTAGAAAGCGATAATATTAGAACCCTTTTAAAGATAATATATTAATCCGCTATTACTAATTAAGATTTCTAAAGAAGATAAGTAGGAGGTTAATAAGATCCTAGATTTAAGAATATATTACTAGAAGCTATAGTATTATATCTAGTAGCTCGGTTATAATCTCGATTTATAATAATATCCTATAGGGAACTTTAAATATACTCTATAGAAGATCTAAGATTTCTACTACTAATACCTTTTAAAGCCTAGTCCTCCTATATATTTATAGAATTAGGTTAATATAGTAAGAGATAAAATTATACTCGAGGATTATACTAATAACGATAAACTAGTATTTAGAGACTAAATATAATTTTAGCTAGGGGTTATATAACGATCTAAGAAGGGTTCTAAGAAGGGTTCTACTAAAGGTTTCCGCCTTAGTTATTATTTATATATGATAGAACCCTACGTATAAAGGATCTCTGATCTTAAGGGTCCTTTCTTTCTTTTCCTTTACTTCTCTATACTTAGTATTCTCGTTAAATGCACTCTTTTTGATTGAAGATCTACCTGGTAACAATTACTAGACTAATAAATATCTATAAAAGGATATTTTAATCTAAATACTAAAAATAAACTAATCTAGATAGTTAGGAAAAGTTAAAAAGCTAAAGTAAATCCTAATATACTAGTTTAATATCTACTAATTAGGACTATAGTACGTTTTTATATACTAATTACTCTCGAAAATAGTAGCGAAATATATATAGATCTAGATACTAATATAGAATATAATATAGTTAGTAAAAAATTTATTTATAAAGCTAAACTACTAGCTATACCTTTTTTATCTCCTTTAATAAAAGGCGTTATTTTAAACTAACTCTATATCTATAGTATATTTTAGGTACTATTTATAATAAAAGGCTTATAAAGTACTATAAAAATAATAAACGAGTCTATATTAATATCGATAGGAATCTAAAATATAAAAGAAGCCCTATTCTTTTATTTAGGACTTTTATTAATAAATTCGATCGCATTTTATATCCTAGCGTTAATAAATAGTAGTTTAGAGTTAAAGACTTTAAACTCTAAAAACTTTATAAATTTATAAAATAATCTAGAAACGCCCCTATTATCTATATTTTTTATTAAAATATTAGAAGAAATATAGCTATCTAATAAAAATATAAATAAATTGAAACTAGATTAGGACTAAATCTCTTTTAAACTAGAAGAGTATTTTAATATATTTAATTATAAAAAGGAAGGTATATTACTAAAGACAAAAGCCTCCGATTATATAATTAAGTTTAAAAAGGGTAAAACTCTATTTTATAGCCTAATTTACCCTCTTTTATAAATAGAGTTTAAAAAGCTATAAGCCTATTTTATCTATAATATTAAAAAAGAAAGGATCCGACTATTAAAGTGTTTAATAGGAGTACTAATCCTATTTATTCTAAAGAAAGATAAAGGTCTATATTTATATATAGATTATTAGGGCTTTAACTATATTTTAATTGAGAATCGCTATCTATTATCTCTTATTTTAGAGATCTTTAACTACCTTTTAAAAGTAAAGTATTTTAGTAAAATCGATATAAAGCTATTTAAGCGGTTAGGAAAAGAGAGACTAAAGAATACTCTTTTATAGGTACTTTTAATTTACTTTAGGGTTTAATTTATATATCTTTAAATTTATAACTCCGGAAGTAGTATAGTAAAACTAAAAATATTAAGAAATAGGATAATACTATCTTTTTACTATATAAAGATATAATATTTCTATTATATATTTATTTAGTAATAGACTATACCAAAGCCTATAAATATATTTCTACTATTTAGAACTAGGGTTCTTTAATATATAGAACGTTTAATTAAATGGTTTAGAAAGACTAGCTATTATAATTCCTTATAGTCGCCTATCTTCTATTCCGGTTAATCGAATACTTTAAATTTTATATATTAGTTATAATTATATAAATAGTAGATTTAGTATCTAAAATCATTTTAATAAAAATAATTAGATATATTATATTAGGCGGGTTTATTATATATATAAAATAGAATAAAGTGCTTAATAAGCCTTTAGATTTTATCTAGTTCTAGAAATATACTTTCTTAGAGTAGTAAAATATTTATATTGAATTCTAATAGATTTATAAATATATTATCTATATAATTACTAAAGTATTTAGTATTAATATAAACTAAAATACTTTTACTATTTAACTACTAAGTCTAGATATCTAGTTATATTAAAATTATATATAAATAGACTATTAGAGAGATATATATATAATTCTTACTCTTTAGTTATCCTCTATAATAATAAGATAGCTAACTAGTTAATTCTAGATATATATCTAGCTTTAAAGATATAATAAACCGTTTCTTTAATAAGGTTTAGAGCTATATATATATATATATATACTATATATAAAATAATCTTATTTTAGTAGATCTATCTATTAGATTATATTTCCCTATTAAAAGTATTAATTTATATTAAAATAATAATAGTTAGGAATAGTAGATAGATTAATCCTCTTACTTTTAAATCCTTTTCCTAGATTTTTATTCGAGTCGATAGTAGATTATATAATAGTCTACTACTAACTAGCCTAAAAATAGCTTATCGCTAAATATAAGTTTAAACTAACCTTTTTAATAATTCGGGATTAATCATTACCTAATATAATATATTTTAATAGAAATCTATAGTATAAACGAAATAATATATAGTATAAATTAGTATATATTTAAATAGTAAAGAAATTTAAAGAAAACTATAGTAGAGTATAAGAAAGGCCTTAGGGCTTAGATTTATATATTTTTCTTAGGACAGATATAGGTTTAGAGTGAGTTAACCCTATCACCCAAGAGTAAGAATTATTACCCCGTTCTTACCTCTCTTACCCTAGTCTTAGCCTTCTTACCTATATCACCTGTACTTACCCTAAAGTGCCGCTTAAGTGCTAAAGGTATATTAAGTATTGACTATATAGAACATATGGCTTAAGTACGGCTAAGCGGACGGGAAGCCCTATTTTCCACACCCTATGGTCGTATGTGATAGTTAACAAGTAGGCTATAATAATAAAATGGATCAAGCTATTTAAGAGGTGAAATTAGATCTAAGTTTAAATGACGGTGTGGGGAGAGGCCCGAAGGATGGCTCAAGAGTCTCTATTTTCCTGAAAATAGGTCCATAACCCCTATTAGCTTATCCCATTTCGAATCATTCTGAATAGCAATTTTCCCTTCCCCGGTCATGACCTTATATTGTTGCGGAGAAGAAGTACCGTAAGAGTACCCGTCTATACCATGAATAAAGGCACAGAGATCCTGTATCCAGTCTGACATCAATTCACGCTCCTCAGTAGTGGGGCCGTGTGTGAGCGAGTAGCTGAACAGTGGATGTTAGCGATATGAAGAACGCAGCAGGACATAGAATTGATAACATACTTCCAAATAGGCCGATCCATAGCGTGGGTTACCCCAAACGAAGCCGGGGCAATCTTCTCCGTTATGAACGATAGTCGGTACGCGATCATGTAGCGCCAGATATTTTTCATACTAACGCCATGGTCCACGAGAATCTTGACTAGGTACCGTGATGGAGCTCGGACCTGACCATCGGAGACGATCTTTCCAAACAGGTCAGCCCAGTCTTGCTTGTTATCTGACTTTGGGAGTTGATAATGTTGAAGCAGACGTTTCGTTGTCGAAAGGGGGTAGTAGTTTGCGAGTTGCTGCTGGAGGGATTCCCAATTCGCGTCTGGGCAATTTGTGGCCGCGTATAAGGTCTCTTCATTGAGAACCTCGCCGATGAAAATGCGCAGGTTGCGTTGCTTGAACTCTCGCGCAAAGGAGCCATCTCTGTAGTAATCAAATATTCCTGGTTTAATAAACAAACCATCTGTGACAGGACGAAAGGTGTGGTTTGGAAGATTCATGATGCCGGTACACAAGTCTCTGGCACTTATTCCGCGTAGGAATTGAAGTTTTTCGGCTCCACTTAACGTCGGTGCCGCACCAAAGTATGCGCATAGTTCGTCAAATTGGGATTCACATTCCTCAGGCGTCTTTGGTTGTGTTGGAATCGCATTAGAGTACATGACCATGGATCGAAAATGATCACTCCCTGCAGAGCGGAAATCATACAGGGCCTGGGCGAGAACTGAATAGGCACCTGCGCTACGCCCTGCCAAGTGAATATTGCTCGAGTCTCCCCCAAAGGCCTCGATGTGCTTATGGATCCAATCAATCGCGAGCCGCTGATCCCACAGTCCGTAGTTTCCTGTCGATGACCCCTCGGACTCTTCGAGGAGAGATTGACAGGCCAAAAACCCAAAGACGTTAAGCCGGTATCCCACTGCAACAAAAACAGCCTCAAGTTTGCCAGTTGAGATCAGTTCCGTTGGGTCCATGCTGGTTTCCTGGCTAGGATCTCCGACCTGGAACCATCCACCGTGGAACCAGATCATGACAGGCCATTTTTTCTTTGGATTTTGGAGGTCAGGAACAGGAGTCCAAATATTTAACCGAAGGCAGTCCTCATCGTAGTCATGCTTGGGAGTGTGCTCGCTGACCGCCTTCGAGTAATTTGGCTGGGGGCAAACGGGTCCAAATATTGTAGCGTCGTATGGGGTAGCTCCGTCAGATGAGTACTTGTAGGTGTCGGGAAGAGGCTGGGGCTTCCGCCATCGCAGGTCTCCAGTGGGAGGTTGCGCATAAGGAATGCCTGCAAATCTGCGTGACTTGCTATCGAACTGTAGGCCCTTTATACTTCCTCGGTCGGGGAGGTCGACTTCGCAACCTGTGGCTGTGTAAGAAATGGTGTTTCCCATGGTTGGAACGTCAGGTGAGAAGGGAAATGAGAAAGAAATCTGCGAGGGGCGTGAGCTTCAGACCGAACGAAAAAGTAACTTATCAAGCAGTTAGGGTTAATAAAAAAAAAAGATGACTGTGATTGGTTAGAATAATCGACGTCGGGAGGAGATAAAGACGGGATAACTCCGGACTTGGCCTCACCACGACCCACATAAACTCAGTCGTTGCGGGGTGACGAGTGGATATGCAAGTCCGAGGTCGGTGGTGAGGGTAGAGAACTTGCGTTTGCGGTTCGTCGTGAGGTCTACTCCGCACTCTCCCTTCCTCTCTTCACTTGATAATGGAAACAAGTGCAAATCCCCGTCGGCGCCGAACGGAGCGTGGGCCCCGGTCCAAGAGCGGTAAGTACAAGTGCTGATACCCACAGCGAACCCAGCTGATACCAGGCTACCTAGGCTGTCGAACGTGCATTAGCAAAAAGGTGAAATGTGACGAGCAACACCCACTATGTCGCCGCTGTGTTCGCCTTCGGCTGCAGTGTGAATGGCCTGTTTATCAGCCTTCCATGTCAACCAGAAGACGGGGCCTCGGTCCTATCAAAAGCCGAGATGCTTGGACTCCTCCACCCATTCTTCCAATATGGCAGAGCCAAGCTGAACCAGTCGATCTAGACAACCTTTCCCCAATTGAGGAAATTGGTGACTGCATAATTGAGTCCCCAAACCCCGGTCATGATCACCACCTCGAGACTGGGGCCTTCAATCTTTGGTTTGATACCGGTGAGACAGCCAGTCAATTGAATGACCCAGCTCAGCAAACAGAGCTGGTCGAACAAGAGAATCATGCACAAGTCTCTATCTTGCTTTCTCCGCAGCTGCCCCTCAACTTCCAAACCACACCGGCGGCCATCTTATTTGCCCGCGAGCTAGGAGCCAACTATGCTCCCTCGCTTGGGAGTAATGATTCGCAGGCGGTATCATTTTATCGTGCTGTCTTCGCGCCTCTGAAATCGACCCGAGAGGCCGCGTTATCGGCACACATTTTGTTCCTTGACCTCGCAATGCAGAATACCATGGCCCTTCATTTTCTCCTCGCCGTTTCCCATAACGAACTGGCCATCCACCTGAGCCCTAGCAATCATCCTCCACAAGAGTCATGGAAGCATTTCCAATACGGATCCGAGATATTTCTCGCGGCGCTTAACCCTTTGGCTCGTTCGACTTATTTAGACCATGTTGGCACAATGTTGTCATTCTTATACATGTACATGTTCTGGATGCGTATTCCTCCTCTAAACGCCCAGAACCTGTGCCAGCTGAGTGTTTCCGTACTCACCTATGTCAAGAGTCATAGGTTGTATGAGTTATGTGCAGGTTCTGGGTCCTCGTCCGCTGATACTGTGCTCCTATCGCGAATCCTCACTTATCTCTACGACCGGGATGGATACTGCAGTTTCTTTGGCTGCGGAGGCGCTTTCGCTAGCTACGGTAGTGAGAACCACGAGAAGCGTCATCGGATCTGGCAGTTGTCGAAGTCTATCTTTACATCTTCAGATAGCCACACCACCGCCTCAACAATGCCTAGCACGCATTGGCCATTGACCTCACACATTCTGAATGTCTATTTCGAGTTAATATCCATACATCATGATATTAACTGCTATAGTCAGGCCGTTGAGGCCCAGGTATCTCGATTACTGAGAAAGATCAAAAGAAACCTCGCTAGGGCGCAAGAGGTAAGTGTTGATTCTGTTCTTGTACACAGTTTGTCACTGAACCCGAATTATAGGAATGCAAATCCCTTTCACATCTTGTCACAAAGTGTAAAAGACAAGGAAGGACCCCGCCACTTATGGCATTGGTTGCTGTCACGTTCTTTCACGCCATCCGAATATATTTTCACCGCAGCCGCGACTCATATTTTGGTCAGCTTCCAGTGCCCAATGAGATGCAACAAACCTTGAGCGACCTTATCAGTGCTGCATTCCACACTGTTGCGACAGGGCCAGTGCAGCTCCTCGAACGGTTCCAATGGTCACTACTGATAGCGGGGATGGAAACCCATGATCCGGTTCATTTGGAGTGGATTTTGGCGAATCTCTCAGACCCCATCCTGAAATCTTTACTGAATATGGTCAAAGAGGAGCAAGAACCACCCAGAATCTCGATCAAACAACTGAGACAAATCATTGATCCAGTTTCTCATGGTGACATCCGGGGAACATTGGTTTAATTGTAACCTAGAAACTATATTTGGGGTCAAAAGTCTGTCCCTTCGTTATAATATTAGAACTAGGCTGGAAGTTTATGAAACTGTGTAGACAATGTACAACTACCTTTTTTTAGTTACGCTCCTACCTAGGTATGTTCAGAGATAGAAGGATTGTGTTCTAAGAAACTTTGAGCTGATACTTAGCCCGATTGGGGTTCTCCAATCTTGGCATTCCGTCGATTAAATTGACCAACCACAGCCATCGAAGAGATATCCAACAGTGCGGAGTCCAGATTAACCACCGAACTGACCATTCAGAGCGTTTCTTTATGACTCTTTCTATTTCCCCGTTATCTGTTCCTCCTAGGTTCCCCGGATTCTCATCTATATATGACCTGTACCACCCCTTTCTCACGAACAGTATTTTCGCATATATTGCTTCTATTATTCACCAGTGGCATTGAGTCACATAACATTCTACCATGAAGTCGAAGGACCTCCCCAACGAAATCGCGGAGACCAAAACCGATATAAAAAAGGAAAACGTATTGGTAGAATATGGCACGACCGAAACACTTTCTCCAGAAGATGAGAAGAAATTGATCAGGAAAATTGATTGGCAGTAATCGCTACCCTCTCCTGGACATTTGGAGCTCATTCTTACACGGCTGGCAGTCTAATGCCTATCTTAATCACCTCTTACGGCCTTCAGTATCTCGACAGTACGTCAAATTCCCTCGAGACCGTGGGTTGAAATTGACCGGAACAGAAACCAGCCTCGCATACAGTGCGATACTCGGACTTCGTGAAGATCTTGTATGCTCACCATAACCCAAACTTGTCACCTCCCATTAACTGTGAGCAGAACCTTGTTGGCCAACAATATAGTTGGTCTTCCAGCATTTTCTATATCGGCTATCTTGTCGCATCCTACCCAATCTCACTTGGCTTCGTGCGATTTCCATTGGGAAAGTATCTCAGCGTGTTAATGTAAGCCAACATGATCCTCATACTGGAGACTTATACTAATCTCACAACTTCAGTTTCCTCTGGGGTGTTGTTTTGACCCTCCATGCTGTGACCAATGACTATGCAAGTCTCATGGCACTGCGGGCGCTTCTAGGTGTATTCGAGAGCGCTATTAGTCCCGGATTCTCCCTAATTACGGGGATGTGGTACACCCCTCGCGAGCATGTCTCGCGACACTCTATCTGGTTCGCAGGAATGCGATTGCCAGCATAATCGGGACTTTGATTGCCTATGGCCTTTTGAGTTATGAGGGAAGCTTACCTCAATGGAAGGTTAGATTCCTCAATGTGTTGGTGGAGGTCGATCGCTAAATATCATAGCTTCTGTTCCTCCTTTTCGGCCTCATTACTGTCTCCTGGTCAATCGTGACTTTTTTCTACTTACCAGACTCCCCGCAAACCGCCCGCTTTCTTTCGGCTTCTGAACGGGAGTTTGCCGCCCTACGTCCATACAAGTTCCAAAAAACTACACAAACCAAGTCCTGGGACCGGGGGCAGTTCGTAGAGGCCCTAAAGGATGTCAAGTCATGGTGGTTCTTCCTCTTCTCGTTTGTCATTTGTGTGCCTAATGGAGGCACGACAAGCGTAAGAATCACATCCCATCAAAAGGAATACACATGTCTAACAACATGCTCAGTTCAATACCCTAATTATTAATGGTTTCGGCTACGACAAGTTCCACACAATCCTGATGGGACTACCCGCATCTGCCTTCCAGCTAGCCACGGTTCTTCTATCAGCCGTCCTAAGTTCCACGATTCGGAAATCCCGTCTGATCAACCTCGTCTTCATATTCCTGATGGCAATGGCTGGAATTCTCATGGTGAAGCTCATACCATCCTCTGACAAGTTATCACGACTCGCTGGATTCTGGCTGGTCATGGCAGTTGCGCCGGCATTTCCGTTGATGTTATCACTGGCAGCGAGTAACATCGCTGGCTTCACAAAGAAATCGACCGTCATGGCCATGATATTCCTTGGCTATTGCGCGGGGAATCTGGCCGGCCCGCAGTTCTTCATTTCGGAGGAAGCACCTAACTACCACGTATGTATAGCCCTGTTCTACAACGGAGGCAAACGAGACGACAGCTAATGTGTTTCGTGCACAGACCGCTTATACTACGATCCTGGCTTGCTACGCGATTACTATCGGGCTAGTCATCGTATTTCGATTCTACCTTATGTGGGGAGAACGCTCGTCGGGATAAAGAGCAGGGTGTTAAAATTGATCCTGAGGAAGTTCGTCGCGTCAATATTAGTACGGATGATGATGTACTCCAGGTGGACCAGACGGATAAGGAGAATAGGTCCTTCAGATATATTTTGTAGGCCTTGGCCGGCTCGTGATCCGGACATTTAACGTTCCGAACAGTGGTATATCCTTGAAAGAAATGAACTGTTCAGTTGGCTAGTGTTGATGAAAGCATAGTAAAGTGTAATCTCTGTATTATGACAGCACCACAATGCAAACCTCATCTACAAACTAGACTATATTCTGCATCAGACTGCTTGTCAAGGTGGGCTATGACTCCATAATTGGCTTTAACAGGGGAGGGATCAAGGCCTTATTCAAAGGACGGAAGTCGCACCCACCAAACGGTAATATTAAACTAGAATATTAAATAAAATCTCCTCAGTTGAACAAATAAACCTGAGATCACGTCTCAGGCTTGGCTGCCAGAAGATCCTGAACAACAAAACAGGACCGAGGACTCCATTTAACGCAATTCCCACAATACTAGATCTGCCCACGGAGACGCCACATCCTTTCGGGCCCGCCTGGCTTGTTTGATTGAAATACATCTGACAGTTCCAAGGGTGCGGCCTTGTGGCCTAAGCTTTCTCTTCCTCGACACGCTCATCATGCTGACTCTGGCCGACCGATCCTCGCTTTTGGTTCACAATCTGCGTGAAGGTGACAGATGGCTTCCAGCCGACTGATTTCCGCGCGTTGCTGACCTCCGAGTAAAGCTCATCCACTTGCTCCAAAGAAAGCCCCTTGGTCTCATAGATAAAGAAATATACGAAAGAAATGCAAAGGAAGCAGCACCCGAACCATACGAAGAAGATCTTCGACTGCAGATTGGCATTTCCTGGGCCATAATTCACCAGGTACGGGGTAGAGTAAGCGATGGCCCAGTTGACTAGCCAATTAGTAGCGGTGGTCATGGACAAACTCCTAGCGCGAATCTTCAAAGGGAAGATTTCGCCAGTCACAACCCTACTCTCATATTAGCTATTTAGAAGTCAAAGAACCAGTCAGTGATGACTTACCAAGCAATAGGACCCCAGGATGCAGCGAAGAAAAAGATGAAGATGCAGATGAATGCTATCGCAGCTTTCTGCGCCGCTGCGTTTTGCACAATGATGTTGCCGGCGGCATCCTGGCCAGTGGTCGTTGTTCCCAGGACAGCCACCAGAAGCTGGGAGATACACATGCCAACAGCACCCAGTAGGAGAACGGGTCTGCGGCCCCATTTATCGATAGCGTAAAGACCGGGAATAGTGGAAACGACGTTGACACAGTTTGTGATAAGGCTGATGATGAACTCGTTCTCGAATCCGGAGTTTTTGAAGAACTGCGTGCCGTAGTAAAAGATGAAGTTGATTCCGGTCAATTGCTGTAGGGCTTGAAGACCGCAACCAGTGAGTAGCCGCTTTCCCAAGTTGCCTTGGAAACATTCGAGATAGCTCGGCTGGCCTAGACTCATTTCATAATCGTGATTCGCTTGAATCTCAGCAATCTCCTCTCTGACCGCAGGATGATCCTCAGGTAGACGTCGAAGCTTCGCAAGATTCTTAGTGGCTCTCTCATGGTGATCCTTTTTGATAAGGTACCGGGGAGTCTCGGGTAGGATCAGCATTCCAATAATCAGCACGATAGCCCATGCAAACTGAACCGCGATTGGGATGCGGTAAGAACCGGTGTCATTCCGACTGTGAGTTGAATTGTTGACGACCGAGGCCAACAGTAGGCCAATGGTGATGGCTAGCTGGTATGAACCAACGATGAAACCACGGATCCACTTAGGCGCCGTTTCGGACTGGTATAGAGGAACTGATATACTGATTAGCGAGGAAGACCATGACCTAATAAGTTTTGGGTATGTACTCAGCGCGGAAATCAAACCCACACCAAACCCAGCAAAGAATCTACCAGCAAGGAATAGCGGAATGGAAGTAGCAGCTGTTTGCAAAATCACGCCGAAGTTGAATACCCAGCTAGAGGCGATCAAGCCCCATCGACGACCGATGGTGTCTCCCAGCGGAGCTGCACAGAGAGCACCAAAGAATGTTCCGGCCGATAGAATGGAAACAATAGCGGAGGACTGGCTAGAGGTAACGTTGAGATGCCCGGTAGCATCTCTATAACCGGTTGAGAAAAGGTCTTGCCAGTGCGGCATAGCGAGGATGCCACTGATGGTCCCTGTATCATATCTGATGGAAGAAGTTAGGTAAATCCAAGGCTCAGGCCGCGGGATGATGAGCGTACCCAAACAAAATACCTCCAAAGGCCACGAAACTAGAGATAGCAATGGCTGGCCATGATGCCCCGGGTACATCCTCGGGTTTCTTTAGCCAAACCCCCATGGTGTTCGCAGACTAAATCGCAGATGTGTAAATGTGTAAGACGCAAGTATGATTCAGAAGAGCTTTCTGGGGAGGCCCCATGCCGTATCTTATATCTTGTAAACCTAGAGACCAATGATTGTTCGATTGCAAGTCTCGAATAGTAATATATTGCCCCATTCTGTTATTTTGGGGGTCTGAGCAGCAAAGAAAGTTTCCGGGGCGCATTCGAGGCACTGAAGCCGACAAACTAAACGTCTTATCCCCCAGGAATATTTAATTTCTGCGGGGTTTCGCCGACGTACAGTTTCCGATTGCCTATTCTGCCAATCAGCTTCAATCGGGCGCCGTGGACGTTTTCCTGGAGAGCTGGCAGGTCGGACCAGCCACTTCCGAGAGCGACCGACCCTGTCTGTTTTGCATTCTCCCGAGGTCGTCATGAGTGTAGAAAGCGGAGATGCGGGATCGAATCATCGGCCTCGGCCATCGCTCCTCCACGGGCTGTGCGGGTCAAACACGAGACCGGGGTTATCTACAGGGTCTTTCGGTGTGCCAGGCGGAAGGTCTCTGAGGCAAACTTGGATAGCCTGGATACAGCTGGAGTCCAAAGCATATGCAGTCTCCCCTCTGGGGAATACAGTACCTAGAACCACAATAGTGCCCTGTTACTTTGTAAACAATCGGTGTAGTGTAGGCATCATGGAAGAAGGAATGTCAAGAGAGAAGCTTGCAATAAGGTTTAGAATAAACACCTCTAGTACGTTATGCATGTCAGAAAAGAGGTTTATTACGCGAGCTTTACAGTTTTCCCACATCATGGGACATAGGGTGGGTTCCCTCCAAAATTTCATATTATTCTTTGTTAACATACCCAAATTGTCAGTTTATTTTAGAGCCGGTGTGGAACATTGCCAGGTCGCTGACTTCTGCTAATTCTACATAGGATCCTTACACAGTTTTAGATATTTCAGAATTTCCAGTAGGATCCCGACCGTCCGAAGAAGCCGGGACGCAGATCCACCGGGTTCCCCATGGGGTAGCGGGCTGCGCCGAACGGATATCTCTCGCCTCTCCGAATGGACACACCACCCGAAGATGGCCCGAAATTTCTCCTCGCTCGGCGAATTACCAGCAGTTCCAGGAACATAGCAGAAAGGACCCCGTGACAATGGAGTTATGATGTGGGTCGAGAAACACCCAGACGTTTTGACCCCATGGGGAGGCAGAGTAAAATCGCGTGCTACAGGATCGTGCTACAGGATGCCGAACCAACGCGAAAACTACATCTTTTCCCAGAGTGCTTTTGTAACGGCCAGCTCATTATTCCCGAGAGGCGAACCGCGATGGCTCTAAGGAGTCCCAAAGAATGCCCGGATTACTAGTCATTCGGCCCAATACCCATTGTGCCGCCGTTAACCAATTTTGCGGGGTGAGAGTTCGGATTTCTCCGAACAATCCCAGCGGATGTTACGTCGTAGATGCTGCCAAATTCACCTGCTGTTGAAGCCTACTGCCTATGCAGAGAATAAATAGGGTTAATATGTGCTGGCAGAATGTCCAGACACAATTGGGTCATTGCCCGAGGACGCATATCAAGTGGCTCATAGATATATACAAGACTATGTCGTGCCCGCATGCCTAAACATTGGTCTTCCATAACGGCAAGTCCTTATCCCTTCACGATGGTTCATGTCACCAGGGCACTTTCCTTCGTTACACCATTTAAATGGTTCTTCTGTGTACAAGTATTTATGTACTAGTACCGACATTACATTTGATACGTAAAACAGTCTTTTTGCACTGTATCGTATATTTGAAACGTGACGATGCATCGCCATGCGTCCAAATCAACAAACTGAGAGTACGATGAGTAAGTCTCGGACCCCCCTAGCTTATTTCCATGATTCAAGAGCTTGGCTGCCAGGGACATTCCAGCTTATCTCTTTACCTTGCTCAATCCCCCACCTCAAAATGAGCCAGCAAGACTCACATCACAGTTTCCGGCCAAAGTTTTCCTATACGCAGGGTCCCCTGGAGCCGGCACTTCGGAACTGGACATTTGGGGATCTACTCCAGCGTCAAGCCGAGCAATTTCCAGGTAACATTGCGATTTCCTGCCCAGGCACGTCGAACCCTATCACCTATCGCCAATTGAACGACCGTACCAAGCTTCTTGGAAAAGCTCTGATAGCAAATGAGATCTCCGTTGGAGACCGCGTTGGCATCTTTGCAGGAAATGTTTCTGAATATGTGGAGGTTGTGCTGGCAACTGCGCGCATTGGAGCAATCATCGTCCTGTTGAACACCTTTTACACAACGGAGGAAATCAAAAGAGCCCTTCGATTTACTGGTCAGTGTATACTGGTACAATTGGGAGACCAATTTTAATCTCAATATATAGGGTGTTCATTGTTATTCATCACGGAGAGCCTTGGAAAACGCAGTCTGTTGCCATGCATCGATCAACTCGACAAGATAATCGAAAGCCAGAAAAGCGAGTTCCCAGGTTTCCGAAAGCATCGTTCTTCTCTCTGGGCACTGTTCAAAATCGTCCAATCTGCAATCTTACAGGGATTTTGTCAAAGTCCCACTCCACGGTGCGAAGGTCGCTTCTGCTTACGAGGCAGCAGAAAGACAAGTTACTCCAGAGACGATCTGTAACTTCCAATTCACCAGTGGCACTACCGGGATGCCCAAGGCGGTGATGCTCACTCACTTGTAAGCCTTCCTAGGCATGACGTGTTCGCATATAAGCTGACTCGAGGGAATAGTAACGTCGTTAATAATGGTTTTCTAATAGGTGACCGAATCGGTCTCACTTCAAATGATACCATATGTTGTCCGTGGCCTTTGTTCCACTCGTCTGGATTTGTTGTTGGCCTGATAGCATCACTGTGTCACGGTGCAACTCTCGTTCTGCCATCACCAATATTCGATCCCGCTGCCACGGCACGAGCACTGATCTCCGAAAGGTGTACTGGGCTTCAAGGCGTCCCAACCATGTTCGCTGCTGTTCTCGAGTGGTGCCGTCAACGTGGTACTCGCCCGCCACCTCTTCGAACAGGAATTATCGGTGGATCACCAGTTTCCCCGGCTCTTCTAAGAGAGCTGCAGCATGAATTTGGTCCGGAAGACCTGGGTATTGCATACGGTGGGTTTCCAAGCCCTCTTCTTCAACTTTACTTCGCACAGTACTAATCCAATTCTGCTAGGTATGACTGAAACCTCGCCACTCAGCTTCCTTTCAAAGGGCTTTGAACCAGATGGGACCCACGCATGGATGAAAATCTTACCACACACGACTGCAAAGATAGTGGATGCGCAAGGAATTATTGTCCACATTGGAAGTCCTGGAGAACTGTGCGTCTCAGGATATCTCTTGCAGCGAGGATATTACCAGAACCCTGGGAAGACGCGTGAGGTCATGCGCGTGCATGAAGATGGAGTTCTCTGGATGCATTCAGGCGACGAAGCAATCATGGATGAGCACGGACGTTGTCGGATCAGCGGCAGGATCAAGGATACCATCATTCGCGGCGGAGAGAACATATATCCAGCAGAGATCGAGGATCGTCTGAATGAGCACCCGGCAATCTCGATGTCGGCCGTAGTGGGAATCCAAGATTCAAAGTACGGAGAGGCAGTGGCTGCATTCTTGCAACTCAAACATGGCGAGAACCCATGTACAAAGGGACATATCTCGGAATGGGTTCAGCAAACCCTGGGGAAACATAAGGTACCAACACTCGTATTTCACCTCGGTGTTGATGGCGTTCCTGGCGATTTCCCTAAGACAGCAAGTGGGAAGATCAAGAAGGTTGACCTGGTGGCCATTGGAACTCAGCTTGTCCGTGGCACGGGTAAACTATAGGAGTTTACTGTCTCGTCTACACGGATGTCTATCCCTCTGGTCGCATGGTCAGCGGTGATTCACAAGGCGGTTCCACTCAAAAGGCTCCAAGGGTCGGAATATTCTTCAGATCTCCCGAATATCTTTGATCAATTTTGGAGTTCTGCCCGTTCTTGCTCTTGTTTTGCTTATTCTATTCCGGAATCTTCTGAAGTCGATTCGGAACAAAGCTGACCCGCGCTTTGGTGTGGCGTAGCTGAAAATGTGATTGACTTGCATATATGTACTGCAGATTGAAATTTCAAGCTGTTTGTTCACTGTGGACTATGGTAATTTATTCATTCTTGGTATTTGGCTTTCTCCGTTCCAAAATACAATTTGTATTTTTCGTTTTAAGTTGAGTGTATAAAATAAAAAATACACCGTATTACAGCCAACACAATTCACTCAAATCCCTTCATCACCGACTTGCTGGTTACCTCATGTTTCTTCGCGCTTTCAACCTTGGAAGGATCGCCCTCACGCTGCCATAAACAAGAGTCAGGAACTAATATATCCTTTTCCTTTGCCCCGAGCTTAAATCCACCTTGCACTTTTCCATGGAGCCTTGGATGGATTGTTCTTTCCGGGCCGAGCCACACACGGGAAGTTAGGGCGATTCTCTCCCCCGAAGCCAGAATCATGGAGATACGGGTAGCCGGAATACGGCGAAGCAAGGAGATAAACGGTGTGTATGTACTTTTAACTTCAAGCGAAATTATGCCGATTTTCCTTATATCAAGTTCGTTTGTTTGGGTATTATAGCTCATAGCCCTAAGCCATATGTGGCGGTCAGTATTACGCTCGATAGTTATTCGACGGCAGCAGCGGCTTATACTAACTGTTGGCGGTTATCCTTGTATAGACTTAGGCTGACAAGACCTGGTACGAACGTCGACTTCGGTGATGACACGTATATATCTGGCGTGTAACACGGGTCAAATAGGTTCTGGCAATCCTCAGCTAGGTCTTCCCATTAAAATCGTCGGCAAAGTCCTCGTTACCGATTGGGCAGTATTCGGTATTGTCAATGGTCATCCTCTATTCGGTCCCACCTTCGGAATTTGCCCAGGGCTCTACGGTGTCCACAAAGTCCACTCGGTGTATCGCATTGGAGGTTGTGTGATTCTGCCCAACCCTAAGGAACGGGAGGGTTGCAGCAGCACCTCTCGTGCTGCCAAACGGGCGACGCTAGGCATCTTTTGGTATGTAGGAAATAGAAGTAACGAGCCGGGGCTGGTCTGATTGAAGATGCGAGGGACTGAAGATGAGCGATGATGTGGAAGTAGAAGTAACGAGCCGGGGCTGGTTTGATTGAAGATGCGAGGGACTGAAGGTGAGCGATGATGTGGAAGTAGAAGTAACGAACCGGGGCTTGGTTGATGGTGTATGTGCTTGTGTTTGTGGTAAGTCCGTGGAAAGAGATGCCAAATCCCTCCTATAGAACGTACGGCGGCCCTTTCACTCCTCCGGGACGATAAGCAGCACCCATATCCCCCCTTCCATACCTGAATGCTTCCTTCAGTATCCCTGATTTCCAAGCGACATCATAATTATCATCTCCGCCGTCCTTCTCCGTTCGCCACTGTCTCACCACATTCCCACAATCGTCCAAAGAAAACATGCAACAGCTCACCGCCATCAAGAGCCTCCTCATCTTCGATCAAAGGATGCGTCATTACACAGTACGAGTGGTACACGCCATACAGTCCCACGTCAAGTTCCCAATCCCCTTCGTCCTCCACATCACTATCAGCTAATAGTTCTCTCAACTCCCTCAAAGCGGTATCCCGACGCTCGAGATATATCAGTGTCGTCATTCGTAACCTGTTCAGGAAATATTTCGAGGGCACGAGCTAGATCTGCTCCAGCAAAAGTCTCCTTATCATCGAGGACAATGCCGTCCGGCCCGACGAAATCAGAGTCGATGTTGTCGGCCCACACAGCCTTGTGCTGTTCATCCTTGCCTCGAGCATGGCCGTTGTGACAAGTCTCGCGGGAGTCTGAGGGAAGGACCTGGATTTTGCTGCGGTGGGGAGCTATCTGATGTCGAAGGGTTGTCCACTCTATTCCCAACAACAGGGTAGCCATTGTCCTCGTCTTTCTATTGCTTTTCCCTCATAATCGGCTTGGCAGGCCTTCGTGCATGTGTAAAATGCTAACGTTCTCTATTTGAATCATCAGAGGCGCTTGATACTGCGCTGGGTTGACAGCCCTTCATTCTTTACCCGCCATTCCCACGTTGTGACCTCGAATATCTCGAGAACTTGTCTCCACAGGTTCAGGCAAAAGGTGATCACCCTGATAACGCCCTTACAACTGTTCGCCCCCATCAGACCTTGGTTTCAAAAGCATTGACAATCTCATCAAATGCAGTGGCTACTTCATGTGGTCGCGAAAGGAAGGGACTATGGCCAGATCCTTCGAGAGTGCGAACTACCCATTTTTCCTGACCACCCGCGCCCAGAACCATGCCGTCCTGCTGTTCGATTGAAATGACGACATCAGCTGTGCACCGAATATACCCCAACCTCCCAATATAAGCGTCATCCTGCCAGGCTTGAGGGGGCACGATGCCCATATTGGCAGCCATGCTCTGAGGACGAAGCTGCGAAACTGCCCAGTCGACTCGATCCTCCGGCACATCTGGAGGGAAAAACAAGCTGCGGGGGTCTTTTGTCTGGAAAAGACCTTCAGTCGGCATGTTCCACGTCACATAGGGCAGGTCGCCAATGTCGCGAATGGCCGCGCCTTGGTCCATGCCACCAGGGAAGATATAGGCACATAGAGCGACCATCCCCAGCACGCCTTTTTCCGACAGTCCCTTGATGGCAGCGCTCGCAATCGGTCCTGCGTACGAATGCGCTAGGACGACCACGCGCTTACCCATAGATGTCTGCGACTCCACGACGGAGCGTACATGGGCCGCGTCATCGAACTGCGTCGTACCCACTACCCCACTGACACATGGCAGGTCTACGGCCTCCACAGCGTAGCCGAGAGCCTCTAGTGCGGGGATTTGGAATCTCCAGCACCACGAGCCATGCCAGGCGCCGTGCACGAGAACGATTGTGGGTTTGGTAGTCGATGACATGACAGTGAGTATTGTGACGCAGGGAAAGTGTGATATAATTGTAGTTTGATCACGGACTGGAATAAAACGTAGCAGTCGAATAGTTGGTGAGGGGTCCCGTGTTCGGGGTAACCCGATTCGGATAAGGGCGTTTCCCGTACATCCCAAGCTGCCATGTGTTGCCATGAGAATCCTGCTCCTACATATGCTTTACGAACGCAAACTAATTTCTTTTCCCCTAAACAGTTACCAGCAAGGTATAGTACGAAGAAAAGTGAAATTTACTCCGAAAACGCCCGTATAGTATATATTTCGTATCTTCGTGCACTGAGGTATCTATGATCAAGACTCATTTCTGCAACGCCTCTTCCATAGCCCTCAAAAAGCAAGCCTTGTCAATAGGCCGCCCATTCTTCTGACATCCTTTCCACGCTCGTCGCTGGTTGACACCCCAGTGAGAATCACTCTTGGGAGGCGCCACCTTCTTTTCCTCAGCAATATCCAGCTTCATAATCAACAAGCGCAGCGCCCAATTCTCTATGCCACCTGCTTTCTTCTCGGTCTCCATAAGAAGGCGCAGCAGTTCCGTATGCAATTTTCTCAACACGGCCTTAGTTTCGGAGAAAGCCCCGCGAGCAGTAATCTCCTCCAGCATGTACTGCTTCATCTCAAGGGACAGGGTTTGGCCCTTTTGGGAACCCTTAAACACACTTGACAACACAGTGTTGGAGAATCCGGGCGATTGCATTGATAATATGACGGGGAATGATAACTTCCCTTCGTCGAGATCATCACAGAATCCCTTGTTCTTAGTGTACTAATGCAACATATTAGCTATGATGCGTGGTGAGAAACACAGTATGGGGATTTTATTACATCTTCGCTTTGAAGGTTCTGGTAGTCATCGCGGATTTGGAAGTGTCTTCCAAGCAAGGTCGCAAACTGACTTATATCAAGGTCGCTGGAACATGTTAGCCTAGGTCGCTATTTACTGTGTGATCTGATTTGAAATACCTATTTGTCGTGGCCTCTGATCTCATCAGACGGCTTATGAGACGGAATAGACCACCAGTCTCTGTAATATGATCAGTAAGTTGTTGTATGAACGTGGCTGTGCCAATACGTACTGCCATCAACCATGCTGATATACTGCGCAGGGGTGGGTACATGCGTATGGTAGCTCCAGTAGAGATCACGTCCCTGTCCAAGCTGTAGGTTCCGCATTTCATCTATTTCTGTCAATCCGAAAACTTTTGCAAGGAATTGTGCGGGTAACCCTACCTGTGTAAACCGATACCGCGGATGGCGAAAGCATCTGTATGAGATACAAGGCTTCATTCATCAGATATGTCGCCGTATTAATGGTTTGGCCAACACCAAATATCTGATGAGCCACTGGCCTTCCGCGTCTGAGGACACTTCCGTCCTGGATGTCGTCGAGTCTATTTAGAGGTCAGAGAGGAGACACAATCCCAGGTTGAATTGGGCTCGCTTACAATAATGATGAGTTGTGCAGGAAGTTGACTGCACCCTCTATGATCAAGAGGGACTTCACGGGCACCTTGTACCATGAATTCAGAGCGGCTATCAATGTCTGTCTCACATTCTTAGAAGGTAAGGAGTTGATATAGGTGTAGGGGTTTAACACGGGCTGTAGATTTTAGTTAGCATTCAGGTCATCTCGCTTTCAGCGACTCTTGCGGGTAATAACTTGCCTCGTCAATTGAAAGATATCCAGGGGTGTACTTGGCTAGGACGTCACTCTCTGATGCTGTTTGAGATATTGTTAGTATCATTTGTTCAGGGCCAGGGTTGGGCTCAAGCCAGCCGAGATGGGTTTTGTACGTACTTGAGCTAGGGTCATTGAGCTCACTCTGCTTCGTGTCTTTGATTTCTTTCTTTGGCCAACAAAGCCGGTCTAGGGGCGTGAGAACTCGCACACCGTCGCTGCCATACTTTTCAAGGTGGTCTTTATAAGGATTCCTGTCGACCTTGCAGTAACGAGGCGCACAAAGACTCCACACCCAGTTTCCAGCCATGGAGTGCTCAAGCAGTCTTAACCACCTGAGGACTTCATATGATGGCTTATCTGTCGCCTCGTACTCTTCTTTCAACTGACAAAATCGCTCTTCGTGTGCTCGGATCTCAGCCTGAACAACTGCCTTGGCTGCGCAGTGCGTCAGACCCTGCGTAACCGCGACAATATGTACTGCGTTCACTAATGGCACGTCGCCATTGCTTTTGATATGAGATGCGTACTCTTTGTCCCAAGAGAACAAGTCATTTACCAAGCATAATTCCGCATATGCGACGTAGCTCATAGGGTCGGCGATTTCTCTCTTCCTCGGGGGTGAGCGTGATGCCCGATCCCCATCGGAAATTATAGAGTGTCCAGCTTTAAAATAATCAGCTCACGCTCTCGAATTGGGAAAGGGCTCACATACTCAGCTGCTGCATCAACAATTCTGAACTCTAGGTAGTCATCCAGACTAGGAAATTCAAGACTTCTCACGTCCTTTACACATGCAGTGAATGTTTGCCACTTATTAAGGAACCACTCACCGAACACCGGATCAAGACGGAGGTACTCGGCCGCGATCTTGGCCTGGACCTCGGACTTGCGTTGTGCTTTATCTGAAACTCTTGTCGATACGGAAGTCATACCGCTCTGGTTAAGAGCCTGGTGAAGCATCTTGTTTTCCAGCAACAACTAAATATTGTGTAAGTTTCTTGATCCGGGCACATGGAAGGTTTCTGGGTATCATACCGCTTCTTGATCAGCAGCATTATCGGTTTCATCTGTCGTTCGGTGTTAGTTGAAGAAGATATTGCGGCTTATTCACGTACCATCATGAAGGAATGCATATTCCACAGTGTATGCGACAAGCGCAAATCTTTCGGGCAGGCAGTTTGGCGCACACAGCGAAGTAAAGTTACCTGCATGCGCATTGAGATTGCCGAACTTGGACCCAACGGCATCAATACCATTGAGGTCTATATGGCATTGTACTGAGACATGATCGGCGATTATCGTTTGTTTGTGAATATATGGGTTAAACAGAGACGAGTATGCCGGGTTGTTGGCGTAGATTTCGGGATCAATGCCCACCGCATACTCGTCGGTTATTTTGTCCGCCATGGTTTGCAGCTTTTGCCTTGTGGATTTAATAAAATAGCAACATGCACAACGCACATATAAAATCCGAGGGGTCGCGGATATAAATAATAGAATTTGAAATAGAAAAATCGAATATACTGAGACAGCTACGCTAGTTTAGACCGATACTATAGACGTCCGCACCCGATGCCGGCTTCCTCGTTTTCCACCGTACGATATCCGCGCAAGGAACCTTGAGACTAGGGTTACCACCTTACATCTGGCAAGCCCCACAGCAATTAACGTGTTCTCCAACCAACGGTAATTGGCTGGGCCATTGAACTTCAACGTGAGACAATCTGCTCTCCACCCCTTAGAGGTTAATCCAAAGCACGTTTTGACTCGATTCCACACAACGAGGCTTATCTACCTCTCAATAGATACCGACTCGCATGGAAAAGTTGACGTCGCGTCGATCATGATGTACCTTGTACGTTTGCTCTTGCCTATTCGAGTACGAATTTGAAGGATCAAAGAACAGCACACAGCGCCATTAAATGAGAGTTACGCCAAGAATATCCACTAAGTGTCGCCATTTCCTGTGGGGAAAGTAAAAACTGGATTTCGCCCATAGATAGGAGACATTGAAAGTTACTAACTTCACTTGCAAGCCGTGACAGTTTAGTGCACTTCGCTCTCGCAAACGGGCTGCGCCAATGAGAAACAAGCGCGTCTGTGCATCATGGAGTATTTTTCCTCGTTATTTGGCCTAATTACAACTGGCAGGCTCCGGAGGGATCTTTGTGAAACGGCCGATGCCTTGGCCCGCGCTTGTATGTTCTAATTTGGTGAGTTGCAGCAGGGCGGGAAATGTGGATATGGTGGAGATGAGTAAGTTCGGGAAGATTCCCGGATGAGCCTAGATGGAGTACGGAGGACATACTCATGCAGCTATACAGGATCTTCCTTGTTTTTTCCTATCTGAGCTGCCTATCTGAGCTGCCGCCGCTTTTATGAGCTCTTGAGGTGGGAGATCAGAGGGCATATGCAAGTACAACATACGGGCTCGAAAGGGAAAGTCGGTCACGTGTATATTGGGCCATGCTTAGTGGCTACAGACTATACCCCATATATTGTTGTTGCCTTTGCTACCTAGTTATATTCCAGGCATGTACGGAGTACCTAGATACGCACCTGAATTATCATTCCTGTTGCAATCACTGGTCTTAGAGCTTTTGGCTGGGAGTAAACCTCATTTGCAGCCTATGAAGACCTAGTCTGTGTAGGAACGAAGTGCACTAGTTGTTTCTATTCTTCCTTCTTCTCCCTTCTTGGTTAGTAGGGGTGTCGTACTAACAGTAGCCTCAGTCACATGGCCGGTAAATAGCTGCGAGACTAGTGATGCACACTGTGCGATCCCGCAGCCAGATGTAGTACATGGAGAAGGGATACGGTATTGGCTGGACTTGACGCCCGATGAAAGCCAGTGAGAAATAATCAACTCTATTTCTTTGATCCTATCGTTTGTGTCTTTGTTTTAGGCAATACCGTCATATAAAGGGCGCTTGATGATTTTAACTAAATTCGTAGATTTGACAGCAATGCATCGTATATATATATATATATATATTTCAATACTTAGCCTCCGGCCTGTCTTCTGTTCAAACTAAGCCACTTCAAATCAACTTCCATCCACTGACTACACAGAGACATCTACCTATCTTCCACTTCAGGTATCGGAGTGAAAGGAGATTTAGTAAGCCGGAAATCGATGGATCCCTATTTCTTGGACACCGCGCAAGCATTGATCATCACCAAATTGGTAAGTACTTCCAAACTCAGAAGCATACAGTCGCACCTCATTAAATTAAGTGCTGGGTCTTCCAAATTACAAAAGTTCACAAGTTAAGGAGGTACAAAATAACAAGGTCTGACTTTAGTACCTAGGTTAGGTAGCCCTACTGGGCCCGTGCATAGTTACGTCAGCAGGTACCTGCGGCGTGCTCAGATTTACCCAGCTGTCAAAAAGCGGCAAGATATATGGCCTAAAGTAGAAGGGGGAAGGTTTTCCCGAAGTTGACCCCAGTACCAGGCGGCACACGCAACCCTAGTGTAACTAACATCTACAGTTTTAAATGAGAACATCCCGTCTTACAGCATATATCTTAGTATCAGCCCGGTGCCAATCGTTACCAATCCGATATGCTTGTGTACCCGTATCCCATTGGTCTACGTGGTCACTTTGACACTAACCAAACATGCCTGACAGCAACTCCCAAAGTTGAATTGAAGCTCCTATTCAGCAACGTGCAATGTTCCAGGCAGTTCCAGAAATATATTAATGGTCTTCTTATGGAATCCCCCAGGCACATCCCTGTAACCGCAAACTACGGATACCCACAGAGCGGTCGCGGAAGGACGTTCGAATCCTTGCAGGAAAGTAGCGCCGGAGCACATTGACCTAGTATCCGAACAAAGTTACCATTCTGTGGCTAGACTTCAAGTGGGGATCTTGAAGGATTGCCACGTAGCAATCATTAGCTTTCCTACGGAGTACTCCGTCCTCGGTATCCAATCCCAGCTAGAGCAATTGATAAACATTCTCAATTGGGATTTATACATGAACATAACCCCTTGCGGTTGGCAAATTGTCTCTTAAACTTCGGCCGCTGAATTTTCAGCATCAAACACATCACCACCATGCTACTGCTGTGGTTTGGGTTCTTTTCCTTTGTTTGTGGGTTGGTGGTTTACCGGCTACAATTCCACCCTCTTAGCAAGTTCCCGGGTCCGAAACTAGCTGCCCTAACAAGTCTTTATGAATTTTATTACAATGTGGTCCTGGGTGGCCGGTATTTGTGGGAGATAGAGAGAATGCACGAGCAATATGGTAAGGAACCATTATTCGAGACATTGGGTCATACTAAACATTTCAAGGTCCTATTGTGCGCATTACTCCTCACGAGCTTCATGTGGCAGATCCAAACTTCTATACGGAGATCTATGCAGGACCTACCAGGAGGCGTGACAAAGATCCAAGACTTGTGCGGCTAGCAGGTCAACCGACTTCCATGTTCGCGACTGTTGATCATGGCCTGCACAGTTCGCGTCGGGCTATCCTGAACAACTATTTCTCTAAAAAGTCAATTGCAGGCCTAGAAGACATGATCCAGGGCAAAGTGCAAAAGCTCGTTAAACGGCTAAACATGGCCTGTGATCAGGGCACTATTGTACAGCTGGATGCTGCATCATCGGCTCTGACTGCGGACATTATCTCAGAGTACGCGCATGGTGTAAGCCTTGACTACTTGGACGATGTCAATTTCAATAACGAAGTCGCAGACTCAATCTTGAGTCTTGCATCTGTAGTTCATGTGTTAAAATTTTTCCCTTTCCTTTTGGATCTGTCAAAGTTCATACCTGATAAGGTGCTTGAAAACCTTTGGTCCCACGCAGCCAACATATTGCGACTGCAGAAACTGGTTCGTGCTCAAGCAGACGTCGCACTCCAAAACGGGGGTAAAGTGAACGGTCAAGCAACAATGTTCGGTGCTCTCTGTGACCCATCCTTGCCTGCGCAAGAAAGAACACTGGATCGGTTGCAGGACGAGGGCTTTTCGTTGATTGGTGGAGGCACGGAGACTACAACAGGAACATTGAAGGTCATCATGTTCCACTTGCTCAATGAGAAGGCTTTACTCCTCAAGCTCCGCAAAGAGCTCGAAGAATCACCGTCTAGCACATGGGCCGAACTTGAAAAACTACCCTACATGGTGAGCAATGCAATATGCCATACGTAAAGACATGACTAACCCATGAACCTCGTTCCAGAGAGGAGTGATGAATGAGGGACTCCGGCTCTCCGGCGTCATAACCCGTCTTCCCCGGCGCGCCCCCGACGAAGCATTGAGATACAAGCAGTGGACAATTCCACCAAACGTAAGTTCCTATATTCTCCGAGATCGACAACGCTAACGCAACCTTGCACCTCAACAGTCCCTAATGAGTACATCCTCTCATTTTGTTCATACAAACTCAGATTTGTTCCCTGATCCACTTGTCTTTGACCCCGAGCGCTGGATCCGAGCTGAAGCGGCCGGCCAGCGCCTGGAGCATATGATTGTCACCTTCAGCAAGGGTTCCAGGCAATGCATGGGCAACCAGTAAGTTAATATTCAGCTTCCTCTCCTGGGTTCTCACTTACCCTGGAATTTAGTTTGGCTTTGGCGGAGTTGTACCTGGTCATTTCCACGCTGGTACGGGAATACGATATGGATCTATATGGCGTGACGGCCGACAACATCGTCACACATAGGGAGTATGGCTTTGGAGTGCCAAAAGAGAGGGGTGAAGGGCTCAGAGTAAGTATTTCACGGGTTCGTACCCCGTAGTTTGCATTATTTGACTTGTACTCTTCACATATATCGAGGAGTTGATTTATGTGATCACGTTAACACTTTCGGGGCATCGGCTCAAAAATGATATTATGCGTCAAGCTCTGAATAACCTCATGAATAACCCTACATCAATGAGAAGACAGAGCAACTGCCAAGCTATTGTTACCCACAGTCACCACAGTCCATAACTGGAGTCCTTGTACTCTGTTACTTTGTCGACATCCTTGCGTCTCCGATGCTTAGTCCGAGTAACAAAGATAAGTAACAAAGCAGCAAGATCAATGGGATGCTTCCTTTAATTCTTTTCGGTTTATATATCCTTAGTGTTTTAAATAGTTCATTGTTTACTTGACTCGATAAACCCACCCCGAAAGGATATATAAACCTCGAGGTGACCGAACCACATTCTACAGATTCTTCTACAATTCTGCCAACTGAGTCTCATCAGACTACTCATATATTGATTGCCTTTACTTAAAGCAATCACTTTCACAACCTTGAATTCGCAAGGCCAGCCCCATCAGTATCCACTACCATCATACTAACCTACCTATCAAACCGCAGCCATGTCAGGACGCAGGCCGTCTGATGAGTTCCGCGAGGAGCATGCTAATTTCTGGACACTCATACAGCAGATCATCCATGCTCTTCAGGAACAGCTACCCAGTAAACCAAGACGAGACCATTGGCCGGATGGGCCAGCTCAACCTCCAGCTCTCGACCCTTCGACGAGCCGGAGAAATGATGGGTTTGAGCTACCCACCAAGCGGCATCGTCCGCGATGCTCCACCTCAGTTCTTCAGTGCCCGCGCTCAACGCCATCAGAATTACTACGGTACCGAGTTCGGGTATGCCTGCTGGTATACGCAAGCGCAGCTGGGCTACGCCATTGCAGACCTTCTCCACCACAGAGACCACACGCGCGTAGCCGACCAGCTGGAAACGTTGCTAGTGAGTTGGCAATTGACAGAGATAAGAGCCTTCCCCCGCCAGCTCCCTATCCGCGATCCCGTCAAGCAGCCCGCCAGTATCGTGTTTATGGAAGGCCCGCCATACTATACACCAGGCGGTCCCGAGCCACGCATGAAGACCGTAGGGGCGGCTCTTGGGCGCCTCCGCCACCCCGTGTCCACATTGCCATGCAAGCCCCAACTGATACTCTTCACGGCGTGGCACGGCAGACACGCCACCGTGCTGCGCCATACCCTGAACTGGGGGCTCGCCCGAGACGTCGTGGAAATACTAGACTAACCCCGACGATGCCTCAGATGGCTCTTCCACTCCCTCATATTATGCAGAATGGCGATGCTTCGCATATGCCAGTGCCGAAGCTTCCTGGTGTTCAGTCCCTTTTCACTCCACACGCCCTCCCCGGTGGACGTACTCTGCCTGGTGCACCGAGTATGTCTGGGCCACCCCCACCGGGTATGCAGTTCCCATCCAAAGAATCAGCCCCTAGCAGTGCTGATGCTATTTCTGTTTTGAATTCCAATATTTGGGGAGACTTTGAATAGAGAGGAGCCCCGTGAGGACCTTGGCGGTCGCCGCCGTTGAGATCATCATTATTAGCGGGATAACGCGCAACTGGGTTTGTTTGGCTCTCCAATTTGGAATCCAGGTTGTAACAATGCATGACTTGGTATTGGCTTTTGATGAGTCCCGGAATTCTGATTGCTTTTGTGGTTACTGCCTCCACTGACGTTGGATTCATAGATTTTTATACTCCTTTTGAACAAAGAATTTGACTAGTATTGAATGAGAATACTTTATGCACACACGCAATTATCCCTGGTAGCTTCGCTGTAGTCTTCGATAGATGTCCTTGAATAACCTGAATAGCTTTCAGGTTATATACTTCCAATTCTGGCACTCTTGACTTTAGAATAATTCATAGTGAGTGCTCACTAAATAGTCGACTGATTGTTGCCCGATTGTATCTCAAAATAATGACTTCTAGAGTATGTTCATAGTTTCCAATACGAGGTGGATTTTCGGTGTACAGTATACGATCTATGAAGGAATAACTCGACGCTATTCGGGCTATTGAGCGAATACGGCTTTGTTGCTTTCACTGTACATTTCTTCCAAGATATCTGTCTTAGAATCGATCCGCCAATAATAAGTGACGCAATTTTCATGGCTGAAGGCTTCCTTAGTACAAAGACAAAGAACTTTCATACACCGTTTCGGTTATGGTTAGGTGGATTCTTCGGACAGGGATCTGAATGGCTTGTGTATTCTTATTCAGATAATTTATCTGTCTCTCAATAGCCATCTTGGCAGTTTACTTGTGTTGTCAGAAGTAGATGGTTGTTTAATATATATTTGCCAAGTGGCATGTTAGTCACGAGTAGGATTGTATGTTATAGACTGGCTGTACTAGTACTAGTACATGCCATACTATATAACCTTGCACCTTGCAATTTACTATTCTAGTATAATATAACATACCTAGGTACTATATATGGCACCACATCAGTCCATTGACTTCCATCTTGCCACTTTCCAAATCTGTTGAATCAGCCAATCAGAAGCCAGTCAGGCCATTATCATTTCTTGGCGGCCGATCCTCCGCGCATTTCCAGGCCAGCTTGTCCACTTTGCAGACCCTGACAGTCTGGCTTCTTGATTCTGTTGTTCTTTTCTCTGTTGAGATCTTTTTTTTTTCCTTCTACACAAGCACCTTGCAAACCCCCCGACTTACCACCACCGAACAGACCCTCCCGTTGAATTTTGGCCTTCGCGCCACCTTGCATATACAACAACCGGACAACCTCTACTCGCTTGATCTACACATACTACAAGTCGGAGGCCAAGATGCGGTCTGCAGCGAGGCTGCTCTATGCCGCAGCATTCGCATTTGCTGGCTTGAGCCATGCCAGCGTTCATAATCCTTCACTGGACCCAACCAAGTGTGCTGTAAGTTTTGACAACCCAGGATACTCAATACAAATGACTGACAGTCCATTTTGCTCCAGCTCGAACCTTCGGCCATGGTGTCCGATGCGTGTGTCTCATATGGCGAGATCAACGGCATGAACGACATGGTTTTCACGACGATAAACTCCCTCACACAAGAAACGGACTTCTTCTCCTACTACCGCCTCAACCTGTTCAACAAAGAGTGTCCCTTCTGGAACGATGCTAATAGCATGTGTGGAAACATTGCCTGTGCCGTGAACACCATTGACTCGGAGGAGGATATCCCGCTTACGTGGCGGGCAGAAGAACTCAGCAAACTAGAGGGCCCCAAGGCGAACCATCCATCCCGCAATATCCAAGCTGAGCGTCCAAAAGAACGCCCTCTCCAGGGAGAGCTGGGTGAAGATGTCGGCGAGAGTTGTGTGGTGGAATACGACGACGAATGCGACGAACGGGACTACTGTATCCCCAAGGACGAGGGTTCCGCGGGAAGGGAGACTACGTGAGCTTGGTGGACAACCCGGAGAGGTTTACGGGATACTCTGGCGCAGGCGCACACCAAGTTTGGAATGCCATCTACAGCGAAAACTGCTTCTTGAAGCCGGTGGCCGATGAGCTGGACGAGCAGTCGCTGAACGTCCCGATGGGCGGCCTCCAAGCAGCCTCTGACTTCCGGAACGTGCTACACAAGGAGTCGCAGCGAGTAGAAGGCCTGCCGCTGGATAATGAGTGCTTGGAGAAGCGGGTTTTCCACCGGCTGCTGAGCGGCATGCATGCCTCCATCTCGACACATCTGTGCTGGGACTACCTCAACCAAACCACAGGCCAGTGGCACCCCAACGTGCAATGCTTCAAGGAACGACTCCTCGACCACCCCGAGCGCATCTCAAACATGTACTTCAACTACGCGCTAGTGTCGCGCGCCGTGGCAAAACTCCGCAAGCATCTGGACGGGTACACATACTGCGCCAGCGACCCAGGGCAAGACCGCGAGACCAAAAAGCGCGTCAACAAGCTCACCGCGACCCTGACGGAACTCCCCCAAATCTTCGACGAAAAGATTATGTTCCAAGACCCCAACGCCCTCGGCCTGAAAGAGGACTTCCGCAACCGCTTCCGCAACGTCAGTCGCCTGATGGACTGCGTCGGCTGCGACAAGTGCCGCCTCTGGGGCAAGCTCCAGGTAAACGGGTACGGAACCGCACTGAAGGTCTTGTTCGATTACGACGAAACTAAGAACGGCGAGAACCCGCCCCTCCGCCGCACCGAGCTGGTCGCCCTGATCAATACCCTCGGCCGCATCTCGCACAGTCTCGCTGCTTCGCGCAGTATGCAGCGAGCCCTGCTGACTGGCACCACTCACATGTTCCCCGTTCACGGCGCTGTGCCCTCCTCCCACCACGCCAACGCCCTCGGCAACAACAGACGCGTGTTCAGGGACGGCAATAACAACTTCTACCTCGAAGGCGAAGGAGTCGAAGACGAATATGTGTATGGCCGAGGCGAGGCGCCGGAGCGGTACCCCTGGGAGCGCAAACCGCGGCACCCAGACGATGGCTTCCTCGAGGATTTCATGACCGAGTGGAATATGATCTGGGGTACTGTTGGGTATATCTGGCAGTCTTGGATGGACATCCCATATACACTGTAAGTTTGAGCTTCTGCTTTATTCCGGTAGACTGATACTGACCAACTCTCGCAGGTTCCAAATCGGCGCATCGGAATTCATCCGACTGTACAATTACTGGCTCGGATTGCCGGTGCCTCCGCGCATGTGGAAGCTGAAGACGCCCCAGCCGCGTCCGCACACCCAACGTGCTGCGTATGCTAATCGTGACGAGTTATGAGTTCCCTGTATTTCATTGCATTGGCATCTGTACATATATGGCTCTGCACTATGGCGTTGATAGACTTTATCTGGATTGTTTTCGGTTTATCGGAGTACTTTGAATCATATTTATACTACTTTGTGCTTCTTCAGGTTGGATTTACTGTAGGGATGTGGTCATATGTAAGTGTTGTCTCTTGTAGAAGGACAATGCGAGTTACACATTAACGGTAGTATATAAATATAAAGATGAATATGTCCGTACAACACATGTATAACATGTTATACATCCTATATATTATGACTCCACTAATTCTTCGATCTACTTTGCCCATCTTAATCTCAGATTACCTCGGTCGCCCCCAGGTACATGCGTTTGCCACCGAACAGATTTTTCCGAAGAGAGCGAACAGGACAGGGCGAACAGGTTGAACAAAACAGGATGAATCTACTAATTAGATATTATGCTACATGTACACCTCGATGATCATAATAAATACAAAAATCCACCTATAGTTACCTAGGTATGGCCATGTCTGTACACTAAGCAGCGATACCCCGTATTCTTCGGCAAACCCCGACCTCGGCATCTCCACTCCCGGCCACATGCGTCCTTTTCTTCTCTCATTCTCTCCTCTCACCCTTCAAGTCTTGCGACGACTCTATCCGAATATAGCGCACCTCGTATCTAGATGCGACTCCGCTAATATCGAACACCATGGCGACGCCTTCGCCACCAAAACCGTGGGAGAGAGCAGGTGCAGCTGGTAAGTGTTTTCCGCTCGATTGCCGATATCCTAGCGCCACAGAGGGCAATCCACAAGTGTCCACCCCGACTAACATCCCCTCTTCTCCTCTCCAGGCAACGCATTATCAACAGCACCTATCGCCGGTAGCCCTGCTACCTCGACCGCGATGACTACCACAACCAACCCCGCAGCTTCAACATCGGCCGCCCCCGACCTTCCCTCCCGCCCCAGCACTCTCAACTCCGTAGTCAACAACACCGCCTCCAGCTACTCGCCATATGGAGCCTCGCGTCTTGGAACAGGCGCATATGGATCCACCTATGGTGGCATGGGGGCCATGGGATCACCTTACTCCCGCTTCGGCACCATGGGGGGTATGGGCTCCATGTACGGCGGCGGCTACGGTGGCTACGGAGGTGGCATGTATGGAGGCATGGGCGGCATGGGCGGCATGGGAGGGATGTACGGTGGCATGCCGGGACAAGATCCCAATGATCCGAACAGCCTGACAAACTCATTTGGGCAGAGCACCCAGGCTACTTTCCACATGATTGAGAGTATCGTCGGTGCGTTTGGTGGCTTTGCTCAGATGCTCGAGAGCACCTACATGGCTACGCACAGTTCATTCTTTGGTTGGTCTTCCTCCCGATGAGAAAAATTATACCCTGGACACTCGCTGACTCTTTCTTGTAGCAATGGTCTCGGTCGCAGAACAATTTGGAAACCTGCGCAACACCCTCGGCTCAGCCCTGGGCATTTTCACCCTTATTCGGTGGTTCCGCACATTGATCGCTAAGATCACAGGACGTCCTCCGCCAGCTGATGCGACAGCTTTGACTCCCGCTGCCTTTGCAGCTTTCATGGGCGGCCGCACAGCTGCTACACTCCCCGATGGCTCGCCTGCCCCCGCCAAGCCATCCAAGAAGCCCTTCTTCATGTTCCTGATTGCCCTCTTCGGTCTTCCCTACCTGATGGGCAAGCTTATCAAGACCATGGCCCGATCCCAGGAGGAAGAGGCGAAGCGCCGCCAACTCGTTGGCCCCAACGGCGAGCCGGGCTCAGCATCGCTCGACCCGGCTAAGCTGGACTTCTGCCGTGTCCTCTATGACTACACCCCCGAGACCCAGGAAAGCAACGGCATTGACCTGGCTGTGAAGAAGGGCGACATCGTCGCTGTCCTCAGCAAGTCTGATCCTATGGGCAATGCCTCCGAGTGGTGGCGCTGCCGTGCCCGTGATGGCCGCGTCGGATATCTCCCTGGTCCATACCTGGAGACCATCCAGCGCCGGCCCAACCAGCAGGCCATCACAGCAGGCAGCGAGCCTGCTACTCGCACCTCCACCATGAAGGGCGATTCTGTGGCCGAAGGTCGCACACAGAGCCTGTCGTCTCTGGGAAAGCCCGAGCTTAACAGCAAGATTGGCGACATCTCGCCTGAGAGCTTCCAGAAGAGCACTTTCTACTCATGAGCCATGAGCCATGCCATATAGACGTTGTCCAGTGCTTGGTTGGGCTTTCGTCTTCTGTTGGTGTTTGTCTTTGCCTTTGGAATGCTAGACAGGTTGGAGCAGGGTATGGTTTTCTGATAGTGACGTTAAACGGCCAAAAGCTTCCACCCCTTCGAGCTTTGCGCTCATCCTTATATATCCCCCCGAGCGTGTCTTTGGATCTTGTTGATCCTTCTTATGAACTGTGATCTGCTGTGCAGGCAGCATGCTAGCTGTGATGCCAGTGGTTATCTCTCCCTACCCAAAGCCCATGATACCAACCCTCAGTATCACCTGGGTATTCTCCCCGTTTCGCCCTCTCCTCCCTCTCTTTTGATTTCGGCTTCTTTTTTATTGTTCCATCGGATTGGATTCATTTTAGCGACGGTTTTCCTGATCCCATTTGGTTTATGTATTTAGTACTTATTAGTGAAATGCACAAATACACAACACACCGCAATCCCTCCCACTAGTTCTAGTTGAAACAAAAGCCCCTCTCCTTCCCCTTCCGTAACCACAAAAGTACCACACCCCCCCTATCCAATCCCCAATCCCCCATACTCCTATTCAACCCATCCTCGTGGACCATCCTCGTGTGGCCCACAGTGGGCCATCATACCCGTCCCGTCCGCTCCCGGCATGTATCCGGCACAGTCCCCACAGAACCTGACACTCGACACATCGAATATCAATCAGTTTGCCTCGCATTCGTATAATCCATCTGCACAGATCCGCTCATCTCCCGATATAGAACATCGTATATGCGTATATGCAGGAGTCCGTACATACCTGTACTTACTGTATGTAACTAGCCCTACCTACGGAGTACTCCATATTCCGTAGACACAGGTATGCAAATCCAATATGCACCACCACCTCAAAATCAAAATTATCTCCCTAGTCCAAGTCACAACCAAAATCAGGGGCCCCTTCCATGCAGCTGCACATACCCGCGGACGTCATCTCGCTTACGACTCCCCCCTGCTCGCTCCCCATTCGTTCTTCTTGCACGTCGTTCCCACGTATCCGGCTCCCTGCAGCTTTGCCTGACTAGTTACTCCCGGTTGACTTTTGATTTGGTTTGGGGCCGGTGAGGCGATTGTGGGCTTGGCCCAAGTTTTGGTTACGTGCCTGGATACCCTGGTTCGACTAGGTAGGGTTGTAATTTGACGTGTTGGGCGTTTTGGCTTTTTGGCGCGTTTGAGGTCGTATTGGATGTGATGGTGTATGTCTACGACATATTGTATGATCTACGGTACTGGGGTATGGAGTAAGGGGCCGAGAGGTTTGTTCTTTTGTCTGCTGATTTGTGATAACTCTAGGTTTCGCACTGACCAACACCCTGCCTTATGAAGATCTTGATCTTGTGATGTATCGTCGTCATACTTTTCGGTAGGTCTAGTGTACGGAGGTATGCTTAAACGCTTAGATGGTTCTGATTCGTCTGAAATACATCGTAGATAAAGGCGCTCATAAATTCATGTCAATGTTTATTCATTGCGCTCCCATGCTTCTTTCTCTCCGGTTGTGTCACGTATTGCTATCTACGTGTCCATGTAGCTTATCACGTGGCGGTGGTCTGGATGTGCTAGGGCTATATACACAGCGATTATGTGTAATAGTGTAGACTTTTACGATAAGTCCCCGCGAGGAACCGGTAGATGTTTCAGATACTCCGTTTAAACGTCGGATCCCGGTCGTGTCCAGTGTAATATCCTGCGCATGGGAATCCCGGAGGGAGAGACGGGGCCGTGGAGCTGGTACACCCATGACATTGTCTGGGATGAAGTGTAGCATGATCGTAAGGGGGCACGGTGAATTTGCCGGGGTTGGTCGGGGTAATAAGCAACAGGGCTGGGGTGTTGTAGGAATGCTCAGGATCCGAGACGAGGGTTGCAGCACAGGGGTTTCAGGGTTGTGTCTGAGAGGAAATGTCGTTTGGGTGAGACATAGCTGAGACTGTCATGGGGTTGAGTCGAGAGGGAGGATAATGCCGGTCGAGCGGAGATTGCTGTTGCTTTGGAGCTGCGACGGGTCCCTTCTCATGCTACCCATACTTGAAGCAGCACAATGCAAGATATACAGAAATTCAGATGCCATGCATAGATCACCAATCTAAAACGCGGAGAAGCCATAATAAGAACGCCCTTGCTATGAGTCTTCCTCCCCTGGGCTATGTTTGGAAAGGAGGTGAGGATGGGAACAGAGCAAACCATATACATAGAGAAAAAGACGAGAAGAGAAAACAGGCTCACACGCTGATGGGAAAGGGGGAAATCAACACATAGATAGAAAGCAAATAAAGCAAGAGAAATGAGTAGAAGAAAGAATCACAATCAAAACAAAAACCATCAAAATCACATCCCCAATCCCTCATGGTGAGGAGGCTCATGGTTAGGATCCTGATCCCTAGCCCACTTCGACATCGACTGCGTAAGCGTGAAGTCCAAATTCTGCAGCCTCGTCTGGAACGACTCAACCGTATTCCAGTCAGACGGATGGGTATCTGCTTCACTGGGCGCATCCTCGAGATCCCTCGGCGCCGGCCCAGGGTGACCATGCGTAGCGTGAGTATTGTGAGCACTGTGTACGCCAGCGGCATGGGGGCTGTGCACACCATGCGAGCCGTGAGACCCGTGTGCAGCGTGTACCCCGTGTGAGAGATGGTTGCCTATTGAATGGTGGTAGGAGTGGAGATGACGGGTTGAGTGCATAGACATCGGCATGGACGGGCTCTCTTCCAGTTCCAGATCGGGCAGGCTTTCGAGGTGGTTTGGGTCTAGAACGAAATATCTTCCATCAATATCATTCGGTACACTCACACTCACCGGAACGGCCGTGGATTTACCGTATGAACCGAGTGGGTAGGGCGGCATATCTCGGGTTGGCGATTGCATGTCGGGGAGTGGTGAGATGGGTGTTGTGGCGTTGTGTTCGTCTGATGGTGGTGGGGTGTAGCAAGTCATGTCGGAGGGTGTTTCTGTTGGTTGTTAGTTTATATGGGTTCGGGTTTGATATAGCCCATCTCCCCCGGTTCTGTATCAAATTGGGATGTTGATTTCAACTCACGAGGCTCGGGGCTTTGTGGCTCGGTCTCTGGTTTCTTGTCGCGGTTGGTATCCCATGATGTCCCATAGCGACGCACGAAGCGGGCGATACGTTTTGGATCGACGTTCTGGCCGTTTACCCGGAAGGCAGTCTGTTTGCCTTGGGCGGCGCGCTTCTGTTGCTTGCGAAGCATGAGATGGACTTCTTTGGCTTTGATGTTCTTTCGAACGTGCCATGCAGCAAGACGATCTTTGTATTGTTTTTCTCTAATGGACTGGGAGTTAGGTGATACTGCGAGCAAGGAGGGGATCTATATGGAATGAATACGCCAGGCGTATTCGAAAGAATGAAGATGCTGAAGCAGAAGAAGAAGAAAAAGGTAGTAATACGATGCAAAGAACTTATAATCCCTTTCCATGATGCGTTTCACATCGCGTAGTTTCAACTGGTCGTTGCGGTAGAGCTGTTCGATGATTTCACGATATTCGTGCCAGTCATCCGATCGGCGGGGTCGAAAGACGTTTGGCGATTGAGGTGAGATGGGGGTGTAATTATTGTCCATGATTAAGAGTATATTAGGATATGGGATTCTCTCATATCAAAGCAAAATGGAGGTGCTGTAGTCCATAATAAATTCTTTTTAAGGAATGCAAATCATAATATGTTCTAGAAAATAAAATAAAGCAAATAAACATAAAAAATATAAAAAGCAAAGAAGAGATGAGGGGGCCAAGGAATTCCCTTCTCTTTGCGGCGACGTGCACGCGGACGCACGACCCCCTGCTTCCCCGGACAAATCAGCTCGTCGACTGGGCTCCATTGGCCTGCTATGGCCCAGTGGCCATACAGGCAACTTGTCATTGACGTGTAATGTCGAGGAGAATATCTCCGTTCGGGTTTTGGTCTTTTTGTGGTAGGAGTTGATATTGATTCTTTGTTGATTTTTGCTTTTTCTATAATATTTGTCTATTATTCTGTTATTTTATATTGTATATTCTAGATTTCTGACTATTTCCTATTATAATATTACCGTTAGTCCTGGAGGATCTGAGTGGAGAAGGTACTTTTGTCATCTACAACCTAAGCGAACTATTACATGCAGTGCACTGGCCGCAAATTGGATGCATTTTCCGTTGCCTTTTCTTTTTTAGTACTGAGTACTCCGTACAGAGTACATAGTACGGAGAGAGTAGAGATTACAATATACTTCTATCCTATCGTATACTATACAACTATACTATACTATACTATAATAATATACTACATCAAATAATAACCTGCAGATCAAAACAAAACGGGAGCGGGCCGAATCTTCCTTGACAGGTCTTTGTCTTCCGAGTCTAAATTCCCAGTTCCGTGGATCATTCAGCCACGTCAAACACATAACCATGGATACTCCGTATATGTATGGTATATCATGAAACACGATGTATTATACAGGTCTTCATATATATATATGCATCCAACATAACGTGCGAGATCTCAACTGTCAAACCCAGCAAGGAGTAAAAACCGTTAAACCCGTTGAAAATCCACCGATCATCAAGGGGCAATATCCATGCGCTATGGGCTCGCGACAAGGTTACCCTGACCAATTTCCCTGTCATTTATAGCGTATAGCGTAAAGTGTTATATTGTTAAATAATATCCGGCCGAAACTCCGAGTCATCAAAACGTACGATGCAAGGTCCGTGCTACCTGGACCTGGGCCTTTATCTTTTTTTTTGTTTCGCGGAATACTCCCTAGCGATCCGGCAAAAGTACGTCTGCTTACTCTGTATATTTGTGTTCCCTCGGGGTTGAACAGGTCGTACAATGTTTATCTATAGAACGTGATACCCTCGGCCCTGGGTAGATTTTATCGGAGACTCGACTCAATCCTACGCTCATATACAACGGTGCACATGCCTTATCACCTGCACGTGTGGCCCATATCTCAAGGGCTAGAACTCCCAGTGCAAAACTCAGGAACTAGTGTGGTTGGGATTACTAGGTTGATGGTCGCTGCACTGATCTACAGGGTTTTTGTTTTGTCTTTCGGGGAGAAAGAATCCTTGTCCCCGAGAGGGATGGGAGGTATTTTTGCTTTGATTATATCTGAATAAGTGAGGTAAAGTACGGAGTACAGAGTACAGAGTACAATGAGATTTAATAGGGAAAAGGGGAGGGAGAATCAGTTTTAAGACACTTGAAACAAAAGCAAAAATAGAAAAAAGGCGCGTAAATACCAACCCGAAATCAGCCCTGGAGGTAGCCAAGCTCCAAAATAACTAATCCTGGGAGATCAATTACATACAAAATTGCGGGGTGTACTTTTTTTTCTCTTCTCTCTCGTTCAATATAAATACGGACGCAATCGAGCGATATAAACAAATATAAATACAACATACAACGCTCTGGAAGTGAATAGTGGAAACACAACGGCCATCCCGCGTGGAGCGCCTCCACTACGAGCCGGAGACGGAGATATCTGCCGCCGACACGCTCATAGGTCCACGGACCATCGTTCACCGGCTCGGATCGCATGCAGGTACTAGGATGTAGCGCGAAGACTGGAACGTACGCATATCGGGGGCAACTTCTATCTCCCGCGCTCATCCGGAGGAGGGAAATTGACTCGAGTTATGAGGCAAGTGGGGAGGTCTGTTCCCCACGCGCCAGTGCTGCACCCAGCCGACGTATGTCAGGCGATTGGTTGGGCCGCCTCGTCATTCCAGTAGTATTGTGACAGGCCAATGAGGCGCTGGCGTTCAGCCTGGGTTGAAACAACCAGGGCTGTGGCACGTCATTGCCATCCCCCTATGATGTACATCGTACATCGTGCTTGGGGCTTAGCGACAAAGTACGAAGTGATGCGCTGTGCAGGTCTTTAATTTCATCCATCTGCGCGATTTTTCAGCCACACGACTGGAATTTGGATCTTGTCAGCCTCACTTTTTTTTTTTGAAAAAATAAAAAAATAAGGCTTGGTGTTTCATCATTTCATGTTTTATTCTTCGGACCCGTTTCCTGTCTGGCTTGTTCCGCGGCTGCTACGGCTGCAGCCGCGACAGCAGCTGAGTTGCTAGACCCCGTGCTAGCGAGATTGCTGGCATGCGCAAGGAGGAACTTGCAGCAAGTGAGCGTGTACTTGCAGGCTCGAGTCCACGTCTCATCATTCTGGTTGAAGCCCAACTTGATGCTGGCATCGCCAATACGATCTCGCTTGATCTCATAGGGTAGTTTTAGCCCCGGTGCGGTGGCGCCGGTCGGGCCTCGACGGGGAGATATTACGGGCGCGGGGGTCTTTTCAACAAACTTCCCCAGCTGGCGCAGACACTCAAGGAACGCCACCATGCCCGCGTCAAAGCGACGGTGAAGCCAAGGAAGGTTCAGCGGGAGATCACCGGACGAAAACAGGTCTAATTGCGTCACTTTAGGTGCAGCTCCCTCGACGGGCTGACCGGATGGCTGCGTGGGATATTCAATCTTGTCAATCCGCGAGCTGGACCCCAGCGGCTTGAGACGATACCCCTGAAATTGGAATCCGAGTTTTTCGGCCATCGTGGCCAGAAGTAGAGCTGTTTGTCCCCATGCAGCATTTATTTCAGGCCAGTCAACGGAAGGATTGGCCAGTCTGCCTAACCGTAGTCCATTGATAGTACCGAAATATCCATCATGACCAATGCAGAACGCGTCATTGTAGACATTCGTCCGTTGCAGTCTCTCAAGCTGCTGGGAGTCATGATCATAACGCATATTGAGCGCATCCCGTTCATTTTGAAACTCGGTCAGCGTCAAGGCAAACGCATTGCGGGACCGCCAAAAACTCCCCTCGTCCGCATCTCAGGCGTCGCGAGTCGATCTCTAAGCTCGCAATCTCTGCATCTAGAGTAGCCTTTTCTTTCTCCAAGGACTGCAGCTCTGCAAATGCGGCCCGCTCCGCTTCCAAGCTCTCATCCAACGATTTCTGTGCCGCCTGCAGCTCCTCTTCGGTCGGGATTGACCCGTTCAGGTTCCTAAGAAACGAGATGTAGGCATCTCGCTCTTTCGTAGATCCAGCCAAGCGTTTTTGTAATCCTTCCACAAGCAGCTCAGTACATTCCACGCAAATCGGATGGTCGATATCGGAGCGCGCCGAGACTATCTCAAACAGCCGTGTCGTCTTCTCCACTTGATCAACGAATGACCCATCCTCCTGGCTACGGAGTTGGGCTTGTGTATGGTTTCGTTTGCTTCGACCAGACGCACTACTCTCACTGGCCGGTGGCGGCGAGACTTAAGACTCAGTAAGCATCACGAACGACATATTGCCGCTATCGGCTCGGGGTGTCGCCGGGTTGTGCTGGCCTCCTGCACGCGGGGCGGGGATAGACCGTCTGTAAACCGGCGACGTAGCATTTTTAGAGGACTGGTCATACTTGTCGCGGTGTTCGGGTGGATATGACGATCGCGCTGACGAGGAGACAGCTCCGGTATCTGACAACGTCTTGCCTGTAGAGTCTAGACCGCAGCTTGATTAGCGGGATCGGAGCGATCGCTCTGTGTGAACTTACTGGATAACAAGTCAAAGGCAGCTGGGTTGAGTGACTCGACTGAGCCATCGAGCTTCAGCGGCGTGCGACACTTCTGGCAGTACATGGTTGCTAATTCATCCCAGAGGTATGTGGGGGAGTGGAAGTCGGGGAGCTCCAAAGGAGCTTCGGGAGAACGTCATTTTTGGTTTGTTTTTCCCTTTCGCCGCATATTTGCTCGCGCTTGCGCCTGCACACCTCACTTTACTTTTATAACCAGCAGTTTGTTGCCGGATTTAATTATGCGTTATTCAACTACGCACTCGATGTCCTATCTCTTCTAAGGCACGCGACTCAATTCTCATCCGCAACCATGAACGACCAGGACGGCAGCATGGACCACTCGATGCAGGACAATATGGAACGACCGGCGAAGAGACCATGTCTATCATATACTCCCGACGACGACGAAGAAGTCCCAGCAGAGTTCGATCTTCCGGCTGCACGCGCACAAAATGACTCGCGACTCAAGTCTCTCTTCGAAGGCATTTTCGCGAAATACAGCCAGGACTTTACCAACATTGGTGATGAGATTGACTTGCAGACCGGGGACATCGTGGTAGACAATGGGCATCTCCTGGGCATGCGGGGCGAGGACGACGCTGGTGACCACCTGCGATCATGGCTCCCCCAGGGTAACCTGGATGGGCCGGAAGATCCCGATGCGGACGATGACAGCGACACCAAGGAAGAGGAGGATGAATTCTTTTCTATGGCGTCTTCTCCTGGTGGTCGCTCTTCGAATGCTCCACGCGAAGAGTCGCCATCGAAACAGCTGCAGACAGACATGGATACCTCCTTGGATTTCGTGTTTACTTTTAAAGCATCTGGGACTGCAGGGCACAGTTCTACGACCAAGGAAGAACATGTCTCCCATCCTGCCAACCCTATCCCAACTTCCAAATCGCAAGATCCTCTCTGGGCAGTTCCAGACTTGCCCCCATCTTTTTCAACACCCACCACCGAGACCCGCAAATCAAACGTGGGCTTCTCTCCACCTGCCAGGTCTCAGTCTCCGCCAGGGAGCGGCTCTGTCTGGGCTGTGCGCAAGCCCCGTAAGCCACGCACAGAAACGAAACCCAAGGCCACGCCGACTAAGCGCCGACCAGCCGCGAAGCGCAAATACCACTCTAGCCCTGTTACACACGACTGGTCTTTTGCGGCAGTACCAGATGGAAACGAGTCAGACGACCCTTTGCAGGACTATGAGCCGTCACCAACACCATCGAAAGTGAAAATTATCCGCGGGAAGCGCCACATTCCCACGAAAGAGAACGATGGTCCATCTACTCCTTCGAAGCAACCAGATCCTGTTATTGAAGTGGATGATCACGAAGGGGGCTGCGAGACGAGGGATCAAGAGGAGGAAGTGCCTGACGCGGACCTCGAAGAAGAGCGCTGCGAATCGAGCAATCATATAGATGAAGGGTCTGAAGCATGTCCCGAAGATGGAGGCTACGAACAGAGCCACCAAGAAGACGGAGTGCCTGACGAACAATTCAAAGAAGGCTGCGGACCAAATGACCAAGAAAATGAAGCACCTGGAGCAGAATATAAGAATGAAGTGCCATTTGATCCTATGGTACAAGGCGATTTAACACCCAAGACCACAGCCAGCACCCTGGCCCCAACGCCGTACCCTATGGAAAACACTCCAAGCAAAAGGCGGCCCATTGCACCCGATGAAGCAAAGTTGATCGTGTGCATGATGCACAAACAGGAAAAGAAGGCTAGCGATGTGATGCACATGCTGCCAGGTCGCGAATACCAGACAGTTTGGCACTGGTTCTACAATCATTGGACCCGCCGCCTCGCCAATCCGCCTCCCCTTTCCGCTGCCTGGTCATGGCCTGAGTTGGAAACTCTGTCCAGACTCAGCACCCAATCGGATCTTACCTGGGGTCAAATACAAAGTCGGTTCAAGGGCCGATCACGACATGAGGTTGAGTTTGAGCTGCTGCGTGCTTTTGTTGGCGAGGGCTTTACCTCTGGAATGATCGGGGACATGGAGGAACAGGCGGAACCGGAAGAGCAGCAGCAGGAAGAAGAAACACTGGACGAGATAAAGGATGAACCGGAATCTGAAGCAGTAGTGGAGGAAGTCAAAGATGAGACCGGAGATAGCGATGCTGCGTCTGAAGACACTGCCCAGGAAGAGCTTGAGCAGCTCGGCATCAAAGAAGTGACCAAGACAACCGACAGTAAGGCGTCTGCTCCAAAAGGCTTCTTGGGCATTTTTATAAACTCTCGAACATGATGAGTGGGTGCAACCGAACTATACTAATAGGGAACCAGTGATCGATGATCGATAAATCTACACATCCATATCCATAGCCATGACTACCATATGATATTCAATTAATCTATCTATTGGAAGTCTTCGTCCCGTGCATTCATAACATCTTCAAGCTTCGTATCAACAGCGCCACCCACATCTCCCGCCTTGGCCCAGAACCGAGACAGGTGTCTTGAGCCAGAGTCAGAAAGTACTGTGACAATCCGATGACCAGGGCCAAGCTTTCTTGCTGTCTTGACAGCGGCGATACCTAGAATTCGCCATTAGCAAATCACAGATGTAATACGCAAAGAGTTAATGGACCCACAGTTCACTGCACTGCTACTCCCAATAAAGATCCCATCCTTTTCAACAAGCCACCGAGCCATAGCCAAAGCCTGTGCATCAGTGACACGCACCGCATCATCAATCAACTCCTTCCCAGCCTCGAAATTCGCCGTGACACGGTTAATCCCAATCCCCTCAACGATAGTATCAACCTGACGACGCCGACGCGTCCCCTCCTCTCCTTGACATCAAACATAACACCATAAACCACTCGATTAAAAAGCCCACTTCCCTGCGGGTCAGCCAGCACAACAGTAAGTCTCAGGCAGCAAGGGCTTCAAGAATCTCGCGACGCCGGAAATGGTCCCACCGGTGCCGGCGCCCGCTACAAACGCATCAATCCGGCCCCCACACTGGGCGTACAGCTCTGGGCCGGTCCCTTCGTAGTGGGCGCGCCAGTTAGCTTCGTTCTCGAATTGGTCGGCGAAAAAGCCACGGCCACGGGTCATGCGGTCGTCTGCCGCGGGGAGATCGGATTGCTCTTCCGCTGACGCAGAGGGGATGCCCGATGAGGCCGTGTGCGTCTTTGCTAGTGCTCGTGCGCGATTGACGAAGTTGTCTTTCTCCACTATTGGTGCTGGCGGGACCCGGTCCACGATTGCCCCGAGTTTCAGAAGTAGGTTTGATTTTTCAATTGCCTGGTCGGACGGCAGGCAGCTGGGTTGCATGTGCATTAGTGTTTTAGTTATTGGGCGAGAAACCACGGTGGCGTATACCTACATGTGTGCTAGATAGCCCTTTGCCCGGGCTAGTGTTGCTAGGGAAATGCCGGTTGATCCCGATGTTCCTTCGTAGATTGTGTCGCCTGAATGCGGTGTCAGGATACCTTCTTCTTCTGCCTGGTTGGAGTTAGTGATGTTGGACTAATGTAGGGGCTTTTTTTTTGGCATTGTATTTTAGCATACGATCTCAATCATGCTTAGAGCAACTCGGTCTTTTGAACTTTGTCCAGCGCCATTTAAAAACTGCGGGCATTGTTAGCGCATTGCTAGCTCGTTTCGAAGTGGTATACGAAGTACCAAGCCTACATACCTCTGCTTTGCCCAGAATTTCACATCCCGTCTCGTCAGATAGTGACTTGATTCGGAATAGAGGCGTGTTTCCAATGCAGCCTTCGATGCCTTCCACGATACTGGGCGGGCCAGGTCGGGCGATGAGGCCACTTGTTGGTGATACTTGTTCTGTCACATTATCCTCATGCCTGGGACGTGATAATTCCTGATATGCGAATGCCAAGCAGACACCAGCCACGAAGGCTGTGCCCACGTACGCCGCCGAATGATCTGGCATCTTATAATGCCGTTTTATGTCTTGAGGATTGAGGTTATGCGCATAGACGGGAGATATGAAGCTCGGACCATCAGGCTCCTTTGGTGGAAGATGAGAACCAGCCTGTACGTCGTTGATGGAATGGAATATTGAATTCCAATTCAAAAAGTTCTCTTTTAATTGAGCTTACGTCCGACTTAAGGGATCTTGTAAGCTCAGAAATGTTGAAGAAATCGAAGATGATGAGTTTTGCCTAAGGCACGTGCTACCCTGCCTGAGGCCAGAAAGGTTATCCGGAAACACCGTTCTTCTTCCCCGGAACAACCTTGAGCTTAGCTCTGCACTCACAATGGACTCGCCAGTCCTTACCCAGCTGTTCCGACAGCTCTTCCGCCATCCGGCATGTCGATCATTAAGGCGGTCACCTTCCGTACTTACTCGACCACAATCCCGATCATTTCTCACGCGGCGCACACCTGTCAACGTGAAGCGCAAACCGCACGATGATATCCAGCTCTGGACAAAACGAGGAGACTACCCAAGAACATCGATGAGGAGTACAGGACGTATCCGACGGTGACGGCGAAGGAGCTACGAAACCGCCGCGAACGGCCGCGGCAGGTCAAGATGCTGACGCGCGAATTCATCGACGGTGAGTCCGGCAGCTAAGTGAAGGGAGAATAATTCTGACATTGCGCTTTAGACAGCCTCTACAACCCGCATTATGGTTATTTTTCCAAGCACGCGACCATTTTCAGCCCCGGAGAGCCGTTCGACTTCAACAACATCGAAGACGGGCCGGCGTTCCACAAACTCCTCGGTCAACGGTACACGGAGTTTGAAGACAAGCTCGATGCGACGAACCCAGATATCGCGCGACAGCTATGGCACACACCGACCGAGCTGTTCCGACCATACTATGGCGAGACCATTGCGCGGTACTTGGTGTCAAATTACAAGCTGACTCTATACCCGTACCACGACCTGATCATCTACGAAATGGGTGCAGGAAACGGCACAATGATGTTAAACATCCTGGATTTCATCCGCGACACCGATTACGAGGTGTACCAGCGCACCAAGTTCAAAATCATTGAGATCTCGCCCGCACTGGCAGATCTACAGTACAAGAATTTGACCGACAAGCTCAGTGCCAAGGGACACCGGGACCACGTCGAGATTGTAAATCGGTCAATTTTCGACTGGGACACATACGTTCATTCCCCGTGTTTCTTCCTGGCCCTGGAGGTTTTCGATAACTTCGCCCACGACACCATCCGCTACCAACAAGGCACTGAGATGCCACAGCAGGGCGGTGTGCTCATCGATGCGGACGGCGAGTTCCACGAGTACTACAACAACCAGCTCGACCCAGTCGCAGCTCGCTTCCTACGCGTGCGTCAAGCCGCCGCCCGCCGTCCATTCCCAAGTCCCTTGGGACCGCCGCTGCTCCGCGGCCTCCGCTCCGCCGCGCCCTTCCGGAAGGAATACACCCTGCCTGAGTACATACCAACACGACTGATGCAGTTCTTTGATGTTCTGAATCAGTATTTCCCGGCCCACCGCCTCGTCTCCAGTGACTTCAATTCCTTGCCAGATGCCGTGCCTGGGATCAACGCGCCGGTCGTGCAGACTCGGTATCAGCGGCAGACAGTGCCAGTGTCGACTCCTTTTGTATGTGGATACTTTATACGATGTGGACTCTGAACCTTGCTAATTACTCTTTACAGGTCCACCAAGGCTACTTCGATATCTTCTTCCCGACGGACTTTAATGTCGTCGAGGATATGTATCGTGCTATTACGGGGAAGCTGACGCAGGTCACGAGCCATGAGGAGTTCGTGCACCGCTGGGCCTATATTGAGGATACGGAGACTCGGAACGGGGAGAATCCGCTGCTGAGCTGGTATAAGAATGCTAGCATGTTGATGACTGTGTAGATATAGATCTTGATGTCAATATCACTTAACTATGCCTTGTCGGCTCTGTTTACCACATAATATTTTCTCTTTCCATGAGAATGGAGTTCTGTTCCTCGACAACACTTCGGGACAATCGCATATGTGGATTGTGATAGGTGGAGATGTCCCCACTGGAAGCAGGCCTGTAGACTCGAGGGATTGAGACGCGACACCTGGTCCCGGACAGCAAGAGGCTCCAGACTTCGTAGCAAAGGGCCGCTCATAGGAGTCCGATGGTCGTTGTCACATTCAGATGTTCGTCTGGCAGGGAATTGGGAGAAATTGTGAGACGTCTTAGAACCAAGAGACAGTGATGCCCAGCGGCTTTCCCTAAAGTCGGCGAAGATAGATCCAGGGAGGTGTCAAAGTCCCCGGCGTTCTGCCCGTCGCACTGTCGTGACTCAACAAGCTGAGCCCTCTGCTTCCCGCAGACTGCGAAAACACGTGAACAACATACTGACCTCTAGCTTTGACCCTAGTTCCGAGGGATCTCAAAGACGCTATTAACGAGGTCGGTAACATCTTCAACCCCAAGCCCCCTAAGAGCATCGAGTATCTGCTCGACGGTAGACTGTGTAAGACCCTCTTTATTCCGAGAGTAGATATCAATGCCCGCAGGAGTGAAGAGCGTTTTATCAAAGTACGTGACAATCCACTGATTACCGCCATCATGACCGAACCCGAGACACTCCCAGTGCGAGCTCGCGATCCTCAGCCAGCCTTTGCCACGCCAATCCCAGGCGCCGGGGTTACCTGGCGTTGGGGTGTCGATGCCGTGGACGGATTTGATTCTCTCAGAGTCAATGGCTTGGTATTGTACCAGGTCGTCGATCTTTTGTGCAGCGGCAGAATCTGCAGGGAGTAGGGAGTAGGTGATGTTGACGTTGCGCTTGCCTTTCCACAAAGGGAGGCTGGAGTGGGTTACGTGCCATGTCCCGAGGATGAAGTCGGTTGGTGGGGCGCACTTTGTTCCTTCGCTAGGATGGACTTTGGGGAGTCTGATGGAGATAGAAGACATTTCCTTCGAGCGTGAAATGGGTTTATGACGGTGTCTAGAGGGTGAAAGCCTCTGATGGCGGACCTTGAGGGGCCGATCGCTACCTGAACCGGTGTTATCGTCAATCTACACAACCTTAAATGATGGAGAAACTGGAATTCAAACTTCAAAACAGAATTGCAGGACTAGTAGTTTAAACAAGAAGTTGATGCGGCTAGCTCGTGCTAGGCAAGTAAATCAAACAACGATTCGTTCGAGCCCGCGCATGGCAGGGTGGTAGTGATACACAATGATACACATATCTCATGGTGTGATTCCATTCAATTAAACTTCCATGACACAAGTTGGCAACAAGGTTATCATCTCGCATGAGCAGAAAACTGCCTCTGACCTGGCCACGCTGGGGTCATCCCGATATCATTCTTCCGTGAAAATGTTGGGTGGGAAAACGCAGTCTGGCCAAATACCGGCTGTGAATACATCGGCTGGGAAAATGCGGGACTAGCAAAGGATGCCTGGGCAAATGCGGGTTTCGAATGAATGGGATTTGTAGGAACAGCCCTAGTGTTAGGGATGCTGGACCTTGGTTCCGTGGAAACTCGTTTGACTCTGCTTAGTAGGGAGGTGTCCGGAGCAATAGGAGGAGTTTTTTTGTCGGTGAGGATGTTTGTAGTGATATTCACGTTGTTCATAATGACATGTGAATGCATGGGGACGCCTGCCTTGTTGTGAAGCCCACTAAGCGCTGTATCAAGCTGACTGAGGATGGCCGCGTTCAGAGAAGTCAAAGTCACCACCGGCGCAGGGTCCACAACGGGAACAGTGATGTTGACGTTTTCAATGACTGTACGCGGTACACGGCGCTGCTGCCGCCATATGTGCTCGGGGACAAACAACCTGCAATGGCGCCAGGAGTGACCGATGCCTGCGCACTTTCTACAGAATGCCGTACACGTTCCAGGGTGCTTCTTATCGCAGCGAGGGCAGCGGGGGACACATATGCCTGGATGATACCTCGCTCCACAGTGCCGACAGAAGGGTGGTGGTCTGTACCTCAAGGGGTAGTCGTCTTCGTCTTCGTCATCAACTCTGCCACGCTTTTTACCAGTACTAGACATTCCCCTATTAGCGGATGGTCTTGTTTGGAAGTAATTCACTCACATGGGGTTCATTGTCACGGCACTGGAGAGAGGAGAAAGGAAAGAGAGAGGAGAAGGTGACGAGGGGGGTTTGTGTACTTGGACAGACCTGATGAGGAAGGAACGACTCCTTGACATGACAAAGGTCAAGTCAAAGGGGAAGGCTCTAGTTCTCCATGTGAGAGGGGACAATGAAGTGGAGGAAGAAATTGATATGAAGAAATTCATCCAGTAAGTAAGCTCAGCGGGTTGCGACTCGGATCTCAGCAGAGCCCATGATGTGTACAACATACTTCTAACACGATGCTTGATACTCTGATTTGGAATCAAATACTCTTAGCTGAATTGGCTTATTGTCGTGAAGCAGGAGGGAATTTATACAGGAGTAATGTCGAGTTGTATGTCAGATATGAGCTCCCATAGGAGAATACTACGTGGCTCAATTCATTTAGATATAGCAAGTCTGGATCGTTGAACATGTTGATAGCAAGATCACGATACAGCAAACCCTTTGCACGTCATAAGTGGCAGTACCCTCCTAGCAACAATTTCTCTGAGCAGAATCTTCAGACTGTCGTAACACACAAGCATCAAGAAACTTCTGCGGAAGCAATGCGAGTCGTGAGTCTTTTCCTGGGACTGACAATAGACTCGCTGCTGTATCACGGTATGTCGAGCTGAACATAGACCAGAGAGTCTTTTCAGGTTCAAGGTCCAGTGATGGACGAGGGTAGTATGGGTCGTTTTCAAAAAATGCTTCCACGAGATGAGCTACCAAGTCATCCGGCCTTTCAAGTCCCATTCGTTCTTCCCATATATTGCACAAATTGAAGTCTAGAATCCAGATGCGAGTGCTTCGGCGTTGACACTTGACACGTATCATGTTGTCGATGTCTGTGTTAGGAGGCATCTTCATAACCTGCTCTGGGGTGAGTCCCAATGAACGAGAAACATCTTTGGTATATGTTTTCTGACGTTCGCTGCCTAGCACAAACTCAACGTCATAGCCATCGACGTTTGCCGACCAATGCATGATCGCCAAGGCCTGCCCAATAGCTCTGGCATAATCCTGAATAGGAAGATTCAGTTCGATCATCTGATCAAGGCACAAGTTGAAGTTTCTCAATGTGAAGTTGCGTGGCGGAGGATCATTCGCACCACGTCGACGGCCGAGATAGATACGGGCAAGACAATCCCGGTTAGTGTCTTCAGCCGCTGCGGCGAGTTGCGACGGCCCGGGACAATAGGCATCTATTAGAGCTTGTCGAGCAAGCCTAGGCAGTGGAAGTATCCTTTCGGTGATCAAGGCCATTGCAGGCAGAGGGAAAGAAGGATGTGACCCATGAAAAAGATTCACATGGGAGTCCCACCATTTATCGTTGGTTTTTGTGACGTATGACAAAATCCGGGGAATGCGTACTTCAACGGACTGCTGGTTTTTGAACGCTCGATAAATTGCGAAGTGTGCTTGGAAGTCTGCCCAAAGGGCATTTTCGAATGACGGTCGAGCGATTTTGACAGCATATGATCGACCGGGTCGTTCGAAGACCATTCCACATTGGCCAAAGCCAATGGTACGGAAGCCAACTGAAGCTTCCTGTTGTGCGGTGTTGAGTAACGCGGATGAGGACGCTGTAGAAGTAACGGAGCTCGATAAGACCCGGCTCAGGGCTTCACGTGGGTCGGGAGGAGGGTGCAACTGTGAGGTAAGCTCGATGCTCACTGGTTTGCGATCCATGTTGGGGAGAAGTGAAGTTGAAATGGTGAAATGGTCAAATGAGCGAATACTTGGGCAGTTGCTGCCTGGCTCACCACTCTGCAGCTTCCGCTTTTACTACGTAATTGTCCTCTTTCTGTATAGTAGGCTAAAAGATTTAAATATCCAAATACCTAAGATAAAGAGCTACAGCATAGACAAGAAGAATACTCGCTTATATGGGCTCGATATGTCTTTTTTGATGTCTTTTTTGATGTCTTTTTTGAATTCCTTTTCCTTTTCTTTTTGCTGGTCTTTTTGGCGGTCTTTTTTTACATAGTGGCATGCAGCCACCTGGGCATACAGCTAAGCTTGGGTATAATGCTAACAAGGAAAAATATAAATGCGGCGGGCCGATGCGTGCATTCAGGCAAGCCCTCAGCATTAGCCCTGGCCGCATAGCCAAGTCTCCCAATTTCCGTTCAACTTGATTACAACGCGAAAGGTGAGCGATGCAGGGAGATGAATATGCATGCACGCAGAACAGGAAGAAGAGGGAGAGGTGTGATAAACCGAGAGTACCTACAGCTAGGAGCTATCCAATCTAAACATAGACATTGTGGGATTTGGAATTTTGCTGCGTTTCCAAGGTCTATCGTTGCATTCAATCATCAAATACAAGAGCTCTGGCAGACTTCAGGCCCTTTCGATGGAGTTCATCAACGATTCCCTCAAGGTAGGCAATGTCAGCCTGCTGCCCAGAGCCAAGTGACTTGTATCCTTTATAGGCCATGTGGAGTGGGAAGATGGCAGATGCCGGCCCGAAAAGTCTCATCTCCTCTTGTAGTAGGTAGACCATACTCAGAGATATATTTTTTGCAAATGCAATGATCTGGGCTCGAATGTCATCATAACTCATACGAAGCTGCCCGGTCCAGATCGGCTGCTCTTGTTCATGGCCAGAAAAATGCGTAATGAATCTCTTAAGTTGGTCGAGGCAGAGAATTCGGAAGGCCCATAGGTGGGTAAAGGCGTTGGCCATGGTGACGTTGGGGTACCAAAAAAGAGGTAGACCTGTATCGTCAGAGGCCTTTGATTCTACTGCTGGTGACACATAACCGCATCGCCAATAGCAAGGTTGGTCTCCTTTCTGCAACGCCGTTTCCCATTCGCCAAGGCGGATAAGTATGTTGGTGATTGAACCGGGTATTTTGTTGATATCGGACAAGTCGGCCTGGACCAAGCTTCCTAGGACGCAATCGCTTTGGTGGAGGACGGCGGGAAGGTTGACAACTTCATTAAGGAGGTTTTGCATGAGTGATGGGCGGAAATGAGAGAACGGGGTGTCGATCCATGGTTGCGATGCTAAAAATGTAGGCTGGCGGCTTCGTAACGCCTGTATTATCTATATCCAAGCTCAACAGCCATACGGGCAGAAAGATCAGAGTGGCAGAGCACGAACCAGAAGAGGTCGGAAACCCACGAATAGCTTATGTAGTAATCCCGAACTACACATGTGCGGTCCGTGGGCATGTAGCAACATGCCTACAGCTTCGGTATGCGATGCTATAGCAGCGACGGAATCTGGATTCATAAGCTTTGACCAGTTAGCGAGCGCGTAGATAAATGTCGGACTGGGGAATAGTACCTCCACTAGCGTAAGACACATAATAGCTGGTATCTGTTCAGTGCTAAGGGAACGGGGATTCAAGCCAAAGCTTTGTCGGAGCGTGTGGAGTGCCATGTCGTAGGTTTGGGAGCAGGTTATGTTGGATTCACTTTGCTGAGATAGTAGTGAAGCTCCCAATGCTGCGACTGCCCTCGGAAGAACCAGACTGGGGGTGTCCAGGGATGGAAGGCTCGACAGCACTTCAACCCAAGCCCCGCAGATTCGAGGCTCCATATAGTCCGAATTGCACGTTTGTGCAATCCGTTCGTTTTGGGGAACATAACTTTTCGTTATTAACTCTGTGAAATTACATACGCTAAGGGGGTTCAGATAGACCTGAAGGGGTATAGGTCCGGTTGGCGAGTCTTGTTGATCGGCACGTAACAAGGTGTCTTGGCTCTCCTTTCGAACAAGCGCAGCTTGGTTGTGTTGCTGTGAAGTAGACGATATCGTCGGAGTGTGTGATATAAATTTCCAATCTGTTCGATAGCCGTCGCACTTGTGACCCGAAAGAACACATTGGCTGCATTCTGGATGCTTCCCATCGCACTAAAATTATAAGAAACGTCAGTGGTCCAATCCCAGCGGTGGCAAATGACGTGAGCACGTACCCCTAGCTTCCGGGTCCTGCAATTCTGACAAACAGATTTCTGCTTTACTTTCATTGTATTTGGGGAGATGAAATATTGTAAAGTCCCCAAGCCGTAGAGGTCTAGAAGGATACCGCAGGGTTGTGACGAAAAAGTCTTGGCGGAATATGCAACCAAATCGGGGTTCGGCTCCACTTTTCCGTTTCGGACCTTTCCTTTTTGGACTTATATATGGGATTCAGGGTACAGTTGAAGAAATGACAACATTTGGGATTTCTCAGTACTTTGAGTGCAGTACGTTAATTCTTTTAAATCTAACTGACTGTCTAATAATAGAAAAATTCATGGGTGCTGATCTGCTTCCCGTTCTCGTCATATCTCCGAGGAATCACAAGTGAGACACCATCAATGGCTCGAGGCTCGTAGTCCAGATTCCGGGCAGCATATGTAAGAATCTCTTGACCGAATTTCTCCTTGAGCCAACAGGCAACCATGTCCATTCCTGCGACAGCACCAGCTCCAGTCCAGATATTCCCGTCAACAACCCATTTCTTTTCCTTAGTCCAGTTGACGGCAGGATAATTCTCTTTCGCCCATTTGTACCCAGCATGGTTGATAGTTGCGTTCTTTCCATCGAGAAGTCCTGTAGATGCAAGTACAGCTGAGCCAGTGCAAGTCGTGAAAAGCAACTTTCCGGCATTGATATGTTGACGGATGAGATCAACATATTTCGGGTGCAGCTTGAATCCTTCGGGATTCGGACCCCCTAGCAAGATAATATCGAGCTCGGGGGCACTCATCCACCGTTGTAGTTGGGGTGAGGGTAACGGCACTGGTGAATAGGTGGAAGGGCTCTTTCGTGATGCCAACATGGTGAAAAACAAAGTCTGGTGCCTGAGAGATAGCATTGTCATTGATGGGGCCAAACATTTTGGACACTTCCAAGAATGCAGAATTGGCGGAGTGAAGGAAATCGATTGGGCCGACAACATCAATCGCCTGGTAGTCATAGACCAGAATACCAAGGTGAATAGGCGCCATTGCAAGCACAAACAGGATGTGAGTTCTAAAAGATCACAGTATTCTTACTTGTCTTCTATATATTTTAAAGGCATTGTTACACCTTTAAGTACTACGGAGTACTAGTAGTACACTTGGTCTGATATCGAGTACGTTTAACGGCAAAGTACGGAGTAGCGCAGATCTGGTTCAGTAGAAAGGCTTGGCGGGGAATCTAGCCGTTCTAAGATAAAGTACCGCTCAAACAGCGCTAGAGCCGATCCTCTTGTAAATCATTTCCCAAAAGAATCAGGGGTGCTAACGAAATGTGAACGGCATACCTGTAATCCTCAATCCTTTCAACTACAACCTGCCTAATTCTTGTAGTATGATCTTACTTCCGGGCAACGGCTCAATATTCTTTAAAAATGTTTATTACGGGCAAATTCGGGAATTCTTATCAAGTCTCCTTCTCGTGCGTTGGGGACGGGCTAATAGAAGTCTGCAAGGTAGAAATTTCAAGCTTTTTGGCCTCACTGGCCGATGAGTTACTTTAATTGGGTTTAGCACCTACCAGAGGCATGGAGACCCACACTCAGCTATAAATATATCATTGCTGAGACGATAAATAGTCTGGTAATGTCGACAGGTTGGATAAGGTTGTGAAGATATATATGTCGGTAGTAGCTCGGCGTAATTGGAATGAGTAACCTTGGAAGGTGTCCTGGGCAGGGTCCAAACTTTACCGGGGATTGGTCCCTGAATGCCTGAACTTGGCCTGGATTTAAACCGCTTTTAGGCATCCATTTACAGTGTATTGTAACCCGTTCAGCACAGCTTTTCTTCCCATAAATAGTACCTCCACCTCCAGTTTTTGAGGTGGTTTACAAGCCTCTATGTATGAACATGTGGCTTTCCCCCCTTACATGGAGGCTTATAAACCACCTTGAAAACTGGGGATGCATGCATTTGGGATTAAAAGCATCATTTTACCCGTCCTCCCTAAGAATTTCCTAAGGTGCTTTCCTTACCTAGGTATTAAGGGCTCTGTAATGGTAATTCAGGTATTCTTATTTTTCCACCAGGCTAAATTCAGCCTGAGACATCCAGGCACCAATCCCGGGGAACCCTGAGCGCTATACACCTTCGTAAATGAGTCTGAAGAGTCATCGTCAGTCTATAGCTTGATAGTTTAATTTTAGGGCTCAAATATAGTCTTCTATAACTCGTATGGCAGCTTCATGTTCTTAGAGAACCTGTACGTACTCCGGAGCCGAGTATATGGGGACGATGGCATCAGTGGTGCATCCGTTGATTATACCCGGACAAACTGTCGGAGAGGACAAAATCATGTGCGTAGCTAATTCGATACTAGATATATTGTGAGGACTGTGAGAGAGAGGGCTACTAGAACAGCGAGCTTTCCAATTCTCTTTTCTGAGAGGGCTACTATCGTAGTTTATCTGGAGATGAGAAGATGCCGTAAGTTTGACGATGACGGCACATCAATTAGTGACTGATCGTCTTCCAGATTGCTGAACCATAGAGCATAGGGGCTGAGCGGCAGGTCTTGTCCAAAGATGAGTCCGAAGTTGGATAGGCTCCATTCCCGATAATGCTCCTATTACTAGGTTCCATAAAGGACCTCAGGACCTCGGGATCTTTCACCCCTTGCCAGAATTTGGTCCCGAAATATCTCCATTTCGCCTACTTGTCTCCAGCGGTGGAAATGAATACTAGCCTTGTAGTGGCCTTTGATGGTGCTGTCATCGCAAATGCAGGAGCAATAAGTCGCTGCCTATCTTATATTTGTCCGAACTTTCGCCAGCCTACGGAGTACGTGGGGCACATTTGTTGGAATGAGTGTAGGTTAGAATAAAGCCAGTCTGCTTGAAACACCAGAATTGATTGAGTTCAAGACATAGCGAATGGTGTCGAGCCATACGCGGGTAGTCGCCATCTTGCGGATTATTTATAGATAAAAGATGTTACAGGAATTCTCCGTTTACGTCGTAGGCCGATGGGCATGCTCATATAGAGACGGGCAGTGTGCTCTGAAGATATAAGGACCATCTTGCATGGCTTGAACCTGCAAGCAATGCCTAGCAATCCTCAATCCTTCTTTATATGTTTATTCTAAACATTACCTTCGAGATGAGCAACCTAGTCGACGTGCACTTCGAGGATGGAATTCCCGATTTGGTAGTTTATTACTTCCGCCTTTTGAGTGATATTACTCCATCTTTACTGTCTTTATTGTACCTGCTTTGCACAGGTTCTGTGTTTTTCGATGTTGTTCACAATATGCTCCACCGTTGCAACAAATCGTCTCACCCTCTGTTTCGACACCTAGCACGTGTCCACCATTACCACCATCTCTACTTCACACGGCATATGAATTTCGACGAAAGGTATCTTCAGCAGAATCGATTTCAAGCCTTGCCGCTTGAGCTAGCACTCCAAATCGTTGGAAGCACACTAGGGTATCTCTTTGCCAGTTATGTGACGCCTAACGGCCTCGTGTGGTGCACACGAAACCACGTTTTGTCTATAATTGGCTTTGAAACCCTAAGGTCTACTTTTGTCATCCTCACATGTGGCCGCGACTCAAACCATCTCATCTACAAAACCGCCCCGAAGGACACCAACTGGATACTTGTGGGCCCAGAGTTCCACGCACTACACCATGTCTACCCAGATCGTTATATGAGTTCGTTTATCAAAGTCTTCGACTGGATCTGGGGTACCGCCTACTCCTTCAGACGGAAGCGCTTTACGATCACTGAGGGAAGCGGAGCATTCATCCAAGGAATCATCAAAGACCTCGAGCATGAAGAAGGGGTAGCCTGCATTCACAAGTTGGCATTTGGAACTGATTGGGATCATCAGGACTTTGACAAAGTGATACCAACTCTTTCAAACACCGACGTTTTGATCCTAGCTCATGGCTACGACGGCGAGGACGCACTTAGCTCAAATTGCGATTCAGCTACCCGGCTTATCAAACTATTCAAGCAGTGTAGAGCGACCAAACCCGCCTGCCAGACGCTGCCGGAAGTATGGTACATTGGCAGCGAGATTGAGTTCCATCCATTCTGGAGAAATGCACGGCCACAACGTGACTCTCAGTCCAAACAAAGGACGTTCCTGCCGCACGCTCGTTCTTGCTTTGATGACCCTGATATAATTTACCGCCATATCGTTCTACCCTCCATTCTCCCATCTGTGGGAAATGCTGTATTCTCTGCAGACTGGGCGGCCAGGTGTGCAATGTGGTGGATCCGACGAGGTGCTAGATATATTCCCGTCACATATACGGGAATTGCGTGGTTGGACTATTTCAAGTTTATGTATCGCATTCCTTATGCGACTGATGCGGATGAAATGTAAATATAGCACGTGTATAGTGAGATGAAACCTGACAAACAAGGCAAACACTGGTAAACTGTCTCACTGTCTAAACTTTCTATTGTCTAAACTCTCTATTGTCTGAACTTCCTATGAATATATACATGTATAGAACACCTACAAAACAGACACTGCCTCTCCTGGTTTCAGCCAACACACCTTATCCATAACGCCCTCACTCTCAAAATCTTCGGCCAGCTCCTTCCCGAACTGCGTGAAATGGCCCCACGACTCATAATGCATAGGGACCAGAACATCTGCTTTGATTTCACGGAACAACCGAGCACCCGATTTGCCATCCATGGTAATCTGCATCATTCCACCACTAGGGTCCTCAAGATTGGCAGGGCATGTGCGTTGCCTAGGTTGAGGACGGCAGCGCAAATATGATACTCGTCCGCCATCTTCTTCAACTCGTCGATGTACACAGTGTCGCCTGAGAACCAGATTGCGTTGGGAAGACCGTCGCGACCAGTTCCGAATCCTTCTCCTGTGATGATGAAGCCAGTGCATTCACCACCAGGCAAATGCTGTGTTGGAGTGCCAATGATCTGGAGTTTCTGTCCGGCGATGACAGTGTCTATTTTTTCCCAGGGCTTTAAGCCATGAACCGCGGGCCGGGGAGACAGGTTCTTGGCTCCATCAACGGTGGTGAAGACGCGGCGGCCATCCAGAAGGCGCCGGCCCAGCTCGTCGAGATTGTCGGGGTGATCTTCGTGACTCAGAAGTACAGCATCAATGACAGGGAGTTGCTCTAGACGAAGAGCAGGATCGTCTTCCACAGTAAGGGAAACATTGTCGTTGATTGGCCACGTAGATCCAGCGGGTGAGAAGAAAGGATCAGTGAGCATGTTGAATCCGTTGATTTCGAGAATGGCGGTGGCGGTGCCAATGTGGGTGATGTTCAATGTAGGAGACATTTTGAACTTGACTTTTCTTGTAAGGTCAAAACCGTGAGGCCTATTTCTTAGTATGCTGTGATCTATTTCATTATACTTGATGGTTTATATAGGGTTTAGAAAAGTAGGTAGTGAGAGCCAGGAAATTAATCATCCTGAAGAATTAATCATCCTGACAAATTCATCATTGTGACAAATTAATCTGATGAATATGTTGAATAATTTATGATCCGCCACCTAGTAACTGAAATTCTGTGGTTCACTTTCCTAATGGGGAAACATATCCCGCCAAGACATTTTCAACTTCTGCGTTACTATAAGTGGGGGACTATAACATAGCCTTGACAAAGGGGGATTTCGAATGTTCTTCTAGATTCTGGAGGATTCGCAAAGAACGACCGCAGCTAACTCATCGTGGCGAATACCAATTTTCTTAGTAGATTGTTGCATCCGGAATGTCATATTCTTTCAGTAGGCTCCAAAATCCAACCTCTGCTTCTTGATGTCTTGAGCAGCTTTGGATTTCTATCTCCACATGTTACATACCGGTGCAGTGTGGACGGCGAGCCATCGACTGTTTCCATTTTTAACATAATACAACACGAATCAATGCCTTGCGGGTAAAGTTCAAGGCACTGATATATATAAGCAAAGTGCTTGGCTATCGTTGAATGATGGCCTAAACTCCTAGCATCATTCTAGGAACCAGGGTACAAGGAAATATGAATGGAGAAACGGTGCGCAGATATTGAATGCCCTCTCAAATCGGATAAATGCAAGGTAAAATGTAGACACAGACAGGCAGAGACAAGAGAGATATTTTGGCGGAAAGGCTACGCAAGGATGAGTTGGGAAATATAGTAATGCATTCTGAGCGAAGCCCTCACTGAGGGAGAGAAGAAGAGAGAAAGGAATAGAGAGTGAGAGAAATAACTATCTGATGCTGCCACCATGGTTGCCTGATCCCTCGAGCTAACTAACAACGTTAATCATGAACAACATCCATCTTTTGTTACAGCAGAAGTTCGACAGAAGCATGAAACCTTCACTGGAACGTCGGCGCATGCCAAAGCAATATCCAGTGCAGGTTGAATGAAAGCAGCTTCTTGGCTCTTTCCAAGGCGAGCGAAGCACTCGTGTAAGCCATGCAACCCCCAAACATTATTGAGCTTTGCCTTACGCCGAGGATAGTCCAGAGCGAAGCCAAGATCCTGCTTGAACAGCGTTTCTGCTTCTTCGACGCGCCCCCGCTCAAGGAGCAGGCCACCGAGTGCATGGCGGACTGGCTGCATCCAGGCAGGCGGGTCAGTATACGCGAGTGCATCCTCACGCACAATGGCTTCCCGAAGGAAATGAAACGCCGTCTCGACATTTCCCTTCCGATATTCCAATTCACCAGCAAGCATAGCAGAGCCAACTGCGAGAACGTCTTCCTGTGTGCATGGAATGCTGTTAAGTCGCGAGCTAGGGACGGCCTTGCGCGCTGTTTCGAACTCCTTCTGAGCGGCTTCGGCTTCTGCAATCCTTCCAAGAGCACTGAACGCAAGCCCGCGGGTGTAATGGATGGTGGCGGTAGTTACACAATATGTATCGCGATCGGTGGGAAGCTTGAGGTCAAGAATCTCTTCCCAGCGACCAAAGCGCACTAGCACGTGCGCCTTACTTCCTAGGAAGCTCTCGACGAAGTCTGCCATTGGGGGGCTTTTGACGGATAGCAGATTCCCATCAATGATCTGTTCGAGCTTTTCCGCAGCGGACATTGCGTCTGTGAATCGGCCGGACATCATAGCGGAATACAACTTTGCACAAATGTAATGCACCCGGTAAGCCGCATACATAGTTGTACCCGTCTCTCGAGCAAAGTAGATGTCGTCGGCAAGTATCGCTTCATTGTTGGAGTCGATACCACGACGATAGTCGCCAACGGCGGCATCAATATGCGTCGGCATGTGTAACATATGCGAAGCGTGCGGAACCAAGCCACGTAGTCGATCCGCAGCCGGTAGAGCCAATTCTGGAAATGGCGACATTTCCATCATGTGTATGTGCAAGTGGCAGATTGCTGGATGACTGCGACCAGGATCTTGCTTCAGTTGCAGCTCAATCACTTCGCGAGCCTCGACTGTGTGATCCCCAGTTGGTTTACCGGTGTTCAGGTCCCATAGCCCGCGCGGAGTGATACACATCAGTGCTTCCGCGAATAGCGCAGCCACGTCCACATCATCGCTGAATTTATGATACACAGAGCGCATCGCGTCCGCATATGCGCGATCGAAAGGGCCCAGATCCTCGGGGATGTCATCAATTGGTGGGAAACGAGTGCCGATTGCCCCAATCAACGCTTGTTCGACTGGTGTGGCCTGGCTCGCTAGCTTGGACGCTCGGGCAAGGACATCGTTGACTTTCTTGATGGAAGCCTGACGATCCTCTGGGTCAAAATATCTCCACGCCTTGTTGTAGTTGGGCCCAGTCGCATACGCAATTCCCCATAGCGCGATAGCGCAATTGGCGTCACTTTCGGCAGCTCGTTCAAAGCATCGAACCGCTTCGCCATGGTTGAAAGAATGAGCCCATATCAGTCCGCGATTGAACCACAATTGAGCTTCCGCCGATGAAGTGGTCACTGATCGACGATACGGACCAAGGTCGTAATAGGCCTCTTCCCCAGCTTTTGTGGGAGGACTGGATTCGTCTCTAATTGAGTGTTAGAGCACAGTCTGTATTACAAATGTCATGAAGAGACTCACCGCATATTGTAAATATCGAAGTTAGCGGATTTAGTCGTAACTCTAGGATCTTGAGATGAATGCAGTTATTCAGAAGATGGGGCGCATTTATTTATACATCCAGCCTTGGAAGGATATTGGTCAATAATTTATCAGCCACATATGATACATCGACTGCAGAGAGGGAGAAGCCGGGGTACACGTGACTGCGCCAGTTCGATCGGAGGACAGGCGGGATACCGACCAGTATCCACGATTTCAATCGCCGATTATTCCAAGGTCTGAGCTTTCCGACGTTGCACAACCTTCGGGGACCCACCTGATGGATCTAAGTGGCGCTTCCCGGTCCCCACCCTGTCCCGGAAAGGTTAGATTACCCGCCAAGACTCGATTGACGGACGCAACTAAACGTGGAACGTCCATGGATGATGCTTTGCTGCTTTGTTTTTGATTGACTCAATATCAATTTCAAAATTTTACCTCGGAACAAAAATAATGTTTGTGTTTTACCGAAACGCCGGTAAAAGGAAGGCGATTGCTAATTCTTTCTGTAGTTAGCTGGGCTCCCTTTTCTCTTCCAAATTTGGGAGTGCAACACTGGAATCCAGAATCAACTTTTCACCAGGATAATTCCTGGCCGAGGATGCTTATCCATTGATTGATATGTATCTTCCGCAAGAGATAATTGACCTTGTATGATTTGTACCAGTCCAGCTCTGCGTCACTACTAAACAATCGTTTGGCAGATTACATTTTACGTCGAGATCGACACTTCGCAATATTCTTCAAGAACATCGACTGCCCGTGCATTCCGGATAACGAACGACAAGAACCGGAAGAATTTGGCTCAACTCCGGTTGGTCAACAAAAGCTTCTGTCACAGTGCCTCGACCCGTCTCTTTCGACACATTATAGCCATAGCCCATTCATCGTACGACACCACCCAGTTACCACCTTTAGGGAGGCTAGTGAACCTGTCCAAAAGCCCATATGCCCAATATGTGCGTCAGGTCGACATTGGATACGGTTCCTTCCCATGTTCGATACGAGAGGTTAGCTTATACACGGAAGACCTTGCCGCCTTGCTGTCTTCATGCTTGCGTCAATTTCACAATCTCAAAGGTCTCGACTTCCATGGTCCGCCATTGGCGCTCTTGCCCCGTGATAAGATAAAAGCATCGATCGACTCGATACTCATGTCGTTATGCTACGTGCCTCTGCCCAACTTGACAGAACTTGAGATTCAGTTACCAATGACGAACGATTTTGCCTCCTTGTTTGCCGAGAATATCAGCACATTGCGGATACCCATTGAGCAGACTCTGAGTCGCCTTCAGTATCTTGGCTTGCATGTCTATGCGCAGACAAACCAGCAATCCTGTGCGGCTCACTTGTTGAGGATCGTGGAGCTTTCAACGAACCTGACTTCCCTCTCACTCAGTAGCACCAACTATCTGAGCATTGATCGTCTTGAACTCGGCTCAAAGGTTCGCCTACGGTTTTTGTCTCTGCACAAAGTGAGAATTTCATCACGAAATTTCGTCAATATTATTGAGCAATGTAACGAGTCGATGCATTATATCGAGCTAAAGCATGTGAAGATCGAGTCTGGTGCATGGACAGAGATTCTATCTGCAATGGATAATTTACCCTATCTATATGACTTTGATATATCTGTTGGGGAAACTTCCATAGGAAGCGAGAGGCTTCATTCAGCCCCGACACTGTTCTATACTGCAGAGAATGCACAAGACCGCGGGCCGTTTGGGCTGGACCATTTCGCGTTTCAAAATCTCAAACGAAGGGTAAACTTGAAACGGGCCGTGGCTCGGCATTTCAGCTGTTGAATCAGGCCCTTGCTACTATGGCATTTCAAGATTGAACATGGAGAATGAAGGGAGATCTTGTCCTCTACTCGGTGAAAGCTTTACTCTATCTATGACTTTGACACATCTGTTGGCGAAGTTTCCACAAAAGGTGATATGTTCCATTCGGCTCAAACCCGTCGCTTTCAACTTGGAAACCCCATCTAATACATAGTTATTCTTCCCCATTGACGCTTGGCGCCCTTTGGACCTTTACTGCTGGTAAGGGCAGAAGCGTATTTTCCATGGGTTTGCTTTCGTGCACTGTAGCCAATTCTTACACAGAAAACCAAAGTGCTACTCTATTGCCTGTGGCACTAATGACATTTGGCTTCCAGCCGCAAACTGTATGATTTGAGTGTTCCGGGCTATTGTTCGAGCGGGAGTCGATGTTCAATGGCAGTGATGGCCTGGTGACTATTCCAGTACTGTCCATTAACTAGGAGATCCGGCCGTGACTCACGATCAAGAAGTCCCAAGACACCCAAACTTCCAAGTACTCTTTAATTCCTATTTCTACCGAGTGGACTGTTTTTCCATTTTACTTGTGCCTTTTGACACAATACAAATTGGGTGAGTGTAAAATCTCGGCTTTTGAATTCACGAAGTTAATCTGAATTAACTAGGGGCATCAGTGGGAAAATGCAAAACAAAACAAAACATAAAGCACACAGAGGAGGCCGTAGGATCGCAATGTTCAGAGATTCGCAGTTAAAAAACAACCTTGGGAATGCCAGGAACTGTCCAGCACACTTTGTCCAAGAATCCCTCTTGGGCGAAAACCTCCTCCAACTCCGCCCGGCCCTCCTTGAAATGTTCCCACGATTCAAAATGAATTGGGACCATGACATCGGCGCCGATATCACGGGCGAGCTGAACGGCTTGTTTGCCGTCCATTGTAATCTGAATGGGGCCAGTTGGGAAGTCAAAGGTGGCATTTCCCAGGTTGAAAATGGCTGCAGTAATATGCCATCTCTTTCCAATCTCTCGCAGCTCGTCAATATACACGGTATCCCCGGAGAAATAGATTGCGTTAGGCTTGCCAGATGAGTCAAGGCCGAACGAATCGGTCTCTAGGACGAAGCCCGTAACTTCTCCAATTGGGAAGTGCTTGCAAGGGGTACCAGTGATTTTGTACATTTTTCCTCCAATGCAAGAAGTCACAGTTTCCCAGGGTCGAAGGCCAACGACCCCAGGCGTGGACGCAAGTTGGTGGCACCGTCGACGGTGGTAAACACCTTTCGACCATCCAGCAGCTTGCGGCCTTCTGGGTCCAAATTGTCAAGGTGATCCTCATGACTAAGAAGCACAGCATCGATAGGCGGCAGTTCATTGAGCTGAAGAGCTGGACCTTGCTTGTTGATAAGATGTGGTGGTGGCGGAATGCTTTCAAAACCGAACTTTTTCAGGTCCACTTGTTCCCAGACTGCGGTGGAATCATATTCTGTCCCTTCGATAGCTCCGAAGAAGGGATCTGTCAGGAAGTTGACTCCATCAATGTTGAGAATGGCAGTTGCAGTGGTGACGTGTGTGATTGTAAGGGTAGGTTTGGATGTTACTGCCATGGCTGCGGTAAGAGTGTGAGTCGGGAAGAGAAATTTTTGACACAGTGGATCTGATCAATAGAATGGAACGTTAAGACACTCTGTTCGGGAGAAACTGAGGTTTAAATACATTGTCTTTCTGAAAACATTAGAAATTCTGTTTCATTCTACTGATGATGTAAGTTCGGCTCATCCCGCGGGGGCGTGGACATGAAGTTTCATTTCGCCACAACATTCAGAGAAATTATATAATATCTCCCGGATATTTATCAGCCCCGTGATTATCAACCCCGGCTGGTTTCCGAGCTTATTTCGCCCTCACCACTCCCATGAATCCATGAATTGCCACGCGCACAAAAAGCTTGGCGGAGAACCTAGCTGTTTCGGGTTAGCGCGGTGGGACAATCCGAGATCACTAGGTGGGATGCCGAAAAATGTTCGCGAAGTGTGCATTTTGCAGCATTAAACTAGAATGTCTGCTGTATATGTGATTTTTATATCTGCTATGTGCCAATTTCTTAAGCTTACTCCGACAGGATGTATCCTATTCTTAATAGCAAAAGAAAAAGGTAACCTGCTCCAGACTATATACCAACTGTACCCCAGTCTTTAGTCAAGACACTTTATCTTACAAGATTACCACGAGTCTACAGGTTTAAGAATAGGTGAATTTGGATGTTGTTATAGAACGACTGGCTTGTCATAAGTATTAATTTTCGCATTGCACAAAGGTAAAGCACATATATATCATGGCCAAAAAGAGTTTTCTCAAGCTGCCTGCAATTTTTCGACCTCTTTGATAAAGGTACTCGCCTTTCGAATTCTGTCTCCGTAAAAGTAGAAGACAACAGGTATTAAAATACATGCTGCCTCCACAATTCCTAGAATTGTACTTGCCCAATTCAAGCCCAGAGCCTTATACATTGATGGACCTGCAAGCGGAAGGAATGCTCCCATGACACTTCGAGTGAACATGTTTCCTGCAAGTGCAGATGCAGCGTAAATACCATAAGACCGAGCAATGTAATTTGAGGCGTAAATGAAGACGCATGCGTTACCCACTCCAAAGGGAACACCAGATAGGATGGGGACAATCCAGTGAACGTTTGGAGTACACGTCCAGGAGAACCACAACTGGCCAATGGCTAAAAGAGTAGCACCAAAAAAGACGATGCTAACCATAGCCTCTGGTTGTACGATACCGGTTTCTGGGTCCTTGCGGTGAAGATTAATCACCCGACGAAACAGAGGTTCGCATGCAATGGCAATTAAGACACCAACACCTATACCGACGAACGAAAGTCCACCAATGCCTGGCGACCATCCACGTTCTTGCTGGAAAGCGATTGGATATGCGACGAAACATAGGTAAAGGACGCCATAGACAATCGCAACATAGCCATCCCAGAACATACTGCGAGAATGTTAGTCTTGGCTTTGTAGGATGGCCGGGAATAGCTTACCATATCGGCTCTTTTAGGAGCATCACAAAGGGTCTCTTGAGATTGATTTTCAGTGAAGATGCAAAACCGACACCATCATCATAGCGTGTCCACCACTTTGGGTTCTGTGTCTCCTTTCGTTTTCTCGCAGCGCGTCTTTTCAAGATCACGGGGGCGTATGTTTCCTTGACAGAAGCTATCAGGACCAGGACCACACCCCCCGATGATGAGAACGATCCAGTTTGTCCACCTCCAGCCAAGATATTGGAAAACAAAACCACCTATGATAGGCCCATATACAGGGCCGTTGGTTGGCCCAATAGACCAGAAGCCGAATGCTAAAGCCCGGTGCTTATCCGAGACGATGTCATTAACTGATGCGGGCGAGTTCGACATCAATGCACTTCCAAAGAATCCTCCGAAGAATCTGCTCACAAGGATGGATTCAATGTTTTGAGCTAAAGCACTCGGCAACAATAGTAACAAAAATATTGTCATTGAGGCAATATAGACTGGTCGCCGTCCCACAAGCTCGCTGAGTGGAGCAAAAATGATGCTGCCCATCCCCATTCCGAAAAGATACGTCGTGACACCAAGGAGGGCCACAATCTTCGAAACGTGGAAATCCTCTTGGAGCCCTGGAATCCCAGATGTGTATAGCGTGCTGGAGAGACTGACAACTGTCGCACCAAGACTCATTGCAGCGATAGTGAGGCCTTTGTACCAAAGTGGCCATAGGCGAGGATTCTCGGGATCTTCAGAGTCCCAGTAAACTTCGAATTCAGGAGGTGCATGTATGCTGGCCAATTTGGAGATTACTGGCTCGAGATGTGAACTGAAGTGGTCTTCGTGGCCTGCGTCCAAGGTGCCGACCAGGTTTGATTCGTTGCGCAAAATTCCAGGATGATAGAGGTCGACGACCATTGTGGTGCACTCCAATTGATATTCACTGAACTGCCAAGATATGAGGTAGTGAGATGAGCAGCTCCATTTCAAAACTTTCCCATTTATAGGGTTGCGGTAAATATACTCATATGGATAAAGCGGCAAGTGGGATGTTCCGACTTGTCCATAGATGTTATTCAATTAGGGCTACTTATTCATCAAGTGGGATGCCCCGGTGGAACCGCATTGGTGGGCATCCTCGCTCGGGCCCCACGGAGCTTCCGTCATTACGATCTCTTCCCGGAGGTCTCGATTTTCCCTTGTATTAACTTCGACCTCTTCACTCTGCAAAATCCTGAATTCATTTGTGTGGCTTGATGAAAAAAATTTGAAGTCCAAAGATTAGCAAACGGTTCGCACAATGTCGCCACCTGCCGATATCGCCCCCTTGTGGTTCCAATGTGACTATCCAGACTGCAACGCAAAATATCGGCGTAAAGAGCACCTGAATCGACACCGTAATCATCATAATGGGGAAACCATTCTTGCCTGTCCTTATTGTGAGAGTGTCCTGACTAGGAAGTGTGTTCTGCCTTAGTCACATGGGAAAACTTATACTCATCTAATGATCAGTGATCTATTGCGACGCCATATCCGGACTTATCACCCGCACAGACATGCGCCGCCGTCTCGAAAATTCAGGGCATGCAGTGCATGTCATGCACGGAAAGTCCGCTGCGAAGGTGTACTGCCATGCAATACCTGCCAACATCGAGGCATCATCTGTGTACCTGCTGGAGGTCAAACCGCAGGTGAACAACAATTCTGCATTGATGATCTCCGCCCTTGCCACCTGTTTCCACGATTAATGATTCCGTTTCCGATGCTCCCCGGTGGATTGCTCATGACTATATCGATATTTATTTTAATTCTTTCCATCCAGAATGGCCTTTTCTCCATCGAGGTACATTTGACTTCGCCAAGGAGCCTTGTGTACTTGTTCAATCTGTTGTCGCAATTGGCCTGTGGGTGAAAGGGACCCAGGAAGCGCGAGACGCGTCAATACAGCTGCATGCTAGGCTGTGTTCCGCATTTTACGCTCAAATGGTGAGAAGAAGAAATATTATCACGTTAACTACATTTAGACTTTGATGCTGATATTACATTTTTGCCCTAGGACCAATGGTGCATCTCCAACTCGAGCCCACGTCAACGCACAAACACCCCGTGGCCTATAACAACATTCCAGAGTGTGCTCTTGAATATCATCCTTGCCCTTTTTATTGCAAGAGAAAATGTTAATATGGATTTGAGCATGCGATGCCGATTGCCAGACGACAAATACGAGCTCTTGGCTGCCCTTGTTCAAAGCTGCCGACAGTGCGGTATTTTCTCCTATCCTAACATGCTTCTGCAACACGAAGCCGATGCACCACTCGCGCTTGTATATGTGAGCGTTGAAGAGATCAAGAGGTTTGGACTAGCACTCTATAAGGTGTGCCGATTGTCCACTTCCTTTCACCTGACCGGAGAAGGTGCCGGTGGTGACAGAAACGCTCTGTTGACCCTGGCCGATTTGTCCTTTTGCATGCCAGACAGTGATGAGCTGTGGAATGCTCCATTGGGCTCGGAGTCCGAAGTGTTGAGCAAGGCCGATTTGTCAGCAGCTGGACGGGATAATGGAGATGCGAAAAACTGGATATCTCAAGCGTCTACTCTTGTACATGACGGAAGAGTTGGCTTCGACTGGATATAGCAGAAAGTATCATAGAAGATACAGATTATTAGCTACAGATCGAAATGCAGTCCGTCGAAGCAGCCATGTCCGGTTGTGGTACTGGGCAGTGGTGGAGGGGAACAGAAAGGAAGAGAGATGAAGAGGGAGCTATGCTACCTAGCACCCTTGGTGGCTTGACAGATCAGGCACCCAACACTAATAACTTCAGTCAGACTCCTGCATCCGCTGCAAGAACGATCTAACTAGATCGACGGTTTAGACATGAAAACCATAAACGCCTCTTTGCGTAGTCCGTCTGTCTTATCGATAGCTTCAATCATTTCTGAAGTTCCTGGATACGCTTATCTTCAAACTCCTTAATAGACACGCTGAAGATCGAGTTCAACAAAGACATGTCGAACATTCATCTCACACTGAATTTGATACCCCATGAAGGTATATATATGTTTTAAGGCAAACCACACTTAGACAGATACGAACCCTGGCATATGTTCGCATAAACTTTGGCAAATATCTGTCGTGAAAGCTACTGTTGCCCTAGGTTTCTTGATGAAAGTAAACAAAGGTTTTACGAATGTGTTCCAATTGACTCGGTAGAATCTATAGATTTTCCATAGGATTGGTCATAGTTTGATATAAGAATTAACCATACGGCGCAAAGACCCAGACATTGGGAAGCGAGTGTGCTTCACACGTTCGCGAACATTCTATGTGTACATACTCGGATATATAGTTGTTGTATGCTGCATATCGCTTTGGCAGTTGATTTAACCACTAGACCAAAATACGAATCGCGTACCCAGCCTAGTGGTTTGTGGTTTAGAATCCAACTTTGGCGAGGGATCAGTGTAAAAGATACCCACTATTACTACTTCTTCCTGTACAGTAGCTTCATCTGTTCTATTTAATAGTTCACACGTGGAACAGGTGGCTAGAATTGCAACTCAACAGTGTGGTTCCCGAAATCTCCCATCACTGCACCTTCCAACTGATCACCGACTTTTCCGTCGCTATTGCCTGCCTTTGTCATTTCCTTTTTTTTTAAAAAAAAAAACATGGTTTAGCCGGCCTCAAGTCTTTCTGATACCCTTGGTTCTGTGGTCCACCAGCAAATAACCAACCACCGTTGCCATTGCTCTAGGGCTTGAGGTTATAATTATATAATCAGCAAGCCATTCGCTTGCTATTAACTAAAAGTCGTACGAGGTAGTACTGTATTAAGACCCGTCTTACTTGACACTATGAACTGTTGACTCTCACCATGGTTATCCTGATTTTGACAGCTTTAAATAGTAAGAGTGCCATCTGTTATTTCATACCACGTTCGCTTGGCTAACAAATCGACACCCTAATGAAAGCGAAAGAAGCGACAATCTTCCCAGGCTGGGGCCCCATGAATTCCCTAATGATTTATAGCAATCTCGATTAAGCTTCCCTACATCCTAAAACGAAAGCCATCTAAACGTCCGGATTGTTATAAACATCGGGGAGAAGAAGAATCGTCCCTGTTAGATAGAATCCTAAGCATTTTAGGTACTTTCAACTGCCTTTGTTTTTTTTGAATGAGAGGGCCGTCGTACCTAAGAACGTGTATCTTAATAGCTTAGATCACGACTATAATACGGTTAAGAGTCTCTAAGTAGGGAAAAGCCCCTACCTATAATCAACGGTTTAGCAAATAAAAGATAAACTATAGATAGTAGAATACACTCACTCCGGGTGAGAGCGATATAAGCAATATTGATCTACGTATCCCGAGTAGGAATCAAGTTAGGAACTATGATAGTGAAGTTCTGATAGGGAGGCTAGCTAGCCTTATAGTACTAAGGATTGAAGTCCCTATAGTAAAGAATAGTACCTATAACCTTAGCTATAAGTCGACAAGTAGTGGATACGTAGGACGAAATTCCAATTATAATAGCAATCTTAGTAGAGCCTATTAAGGAGTTCTAATTAACACGTTAGAATAGCTAAACTTTTATAGTTTGAGTCTATATAAGGTAGTATATAGGACGCTCAACCTAGATAACTATATTACTGCTTTTAGAGAGGTTCTGACTAGCGGTAGGAAGGCCGATAATAGAATTCTATACTAGGGAGACACTAGCGAACGCGGCTAGGGAAACAATGGGCTTCATGGTGGGAATAGAGGGTAAGATAATATAGACGGAGTGATATATTAATTAGGGCTAGAGATGGGCAAAACTGCGATAAGAAGAGGCGAATCTACAGGGGGCACTTGTAGGATGCTTATCTCAGGAGGGCTTCAAAGACGGAGCGTGATTTTGCGAGCGTTGAATGTTATACCCGTACTGTGTCCATGACGGGTGTTGTTGTGGTTCGTTAAAACTCCGTAAGTCTTTTTGGAAGTGAGGGGCGTAAAACTGACCAGGTCATGTTCCCTAATAGTATTGTTATCTCAACGGCTAGAGCCCACAGCACGGGATTCACTAGGTTCACTTTCCTCGCCAACTTTTCCTTGTTTTTTCTGGCCAAGAGCCATGCATTTCTCTCAATAGAACTTTAAGCATGAGTCTTTATCATCGCTGTTGGCCCCGATGAGGAGGTGAGGTGGTGAAGAGGGGTCATTTTTCTGCAGCAGTAGTCATGACTGTTGACATACATGGGATGTCTTTATCTCTTTGTGCAGACTGAGCCTTTGCTAGTTTGCCATGTCTTTGTTTCTTTGTTAGCATAGGCTTATATACAGCCTGCTCTCCATAGATTTCATATCATACCTCTCTTCTTCCCGATTTTTCCCCTCCATGCTAGTGCATCTCACTAGACCTCCAGTATCGTAGCCCTCAAGAATAACTTATGTAAGAGGTAGACGACGATAAAGCGGCCCCAAAACTAAGTCTTAGTAAGGGCAAAGCGGCAAGTGGTGAGCACACTTTCTCTGTATCCATTGAAATCTCCATTGTTGACTGCCACTCGCTACTCTATACTCAGGTTCTCTAGTTACAGCAACAAAAATGGTTACCACTCCAAACTATCGCTGGACTTTCTATTTCCAGGGACCAGTCACCGATCCGTTTTCATTCTATGACCTCTTATCGATCCCTGCTCAGGATTGGAATCTAGAATCCTGTGGTCGGCAGATACTAGGCCCGAGGAAGCCCCCTTGCGTCTGACACCCCAGTATAAGGTTTCACTCCTTTCACCATCCCTATCTTCATTTGCTTACTACTTTCTCTCAGGATTATTCCCTCTCGAGGATCGCAGATCTTGATCGCTGAAACCGAACGATATAACTCACCTGGCTATGTCTATTTTAAATCATTTATCTGAGAATGTTATCTCCGGGGGCACTAAAATTCTCCAAGCGGGGCTAGAGGGCGGGAACCTTGCCGTTGCTTATGGAAAGCCCGCCCTCGAAAAGTCTGTTAACGTCACGCTTCAGGTTGATATGCAATTCCTTACGTATAGAGATATACTCGTTTATGTATGCTGAAATACAATAGGCAGCAGGTTGGAGCACTCAGAACCCTGTTCTAGCCACTTGCGTGGTTGTGGGCGCTACCGGTGCTGTAGTCTTCGCTGCTCCCGGCCTCGCAACGGCTCCAATTTTATCGAGTATGGGATTTACAACAGGCGGAATCCAGGCAGGTATGTGTAAAACTGCAGGAATCAACAAATTGGGTCTTGTTTCCCCCGCCACCTCCTTCCGGAAGCTCGAATAACATTATTGCCTAGGTTCAGCGGCCGCAACCGCTCATGGTTTGATTGGAAATATTGCAGCGGGGAGCGTCATGGCTATAGGGCAGAGTGCTGGCGCAGGCGGAAGTGGCCTTGTGATTGTTAACGAAGCTGCACAGTTTGGGGGTGCTGCAATGTCTGTGGGAAGTGCTAGCCTAGCGTGGATCAAAGCCAAAGTATGAACGCACCATATATACTGAGTTATTTTCCGTGGCCCCGACATGAAGGCTTAGCGCAGATAATATACTGTGACAGAGATATTCAGTACGACAATGTATGGGTGACAAATTGTGCTGTAATATACCCTTTTGTAAGATATATCTCGTGTCAAACCCCTTGCCATCACGGCTCTCATCTTATAATCACCAACTAGAACGGTCGCTTGAAGGGTAATGCTGTATTTAATGTCCTCGTTCACATGCGACTTCTAGGCGCTCCATAGTTATTATCTACAAAGTCAAATGCGGCCAGCATCAGAAGATAGTTGTCATCTCTTCAAACTAATGATCTAAATAAAGAATTCAATTGATAAAAAGGCTGCACACCGTCGCTATCTGTATCGCATCTTCTTAACAAACCATTTCAGAGAGTTTCGCCGATAATATACTTCAATGCCTTCTTCTCACCAAATAAACTCGCTCCCGGAGAAATCCGGGATGCTTCCGATTGAACTGTGCAAGATACGCAGGCTCGATTTCTCTCTTCCGAGGGTGTTTCTTCAATACAGCATACATGAAAGTATGATGATCAAAATGATGTTTTCCATACTCCTCGATATCATCCGATAAAGCGATATCAAGAGCCGATGGTCCCGATCTTCCTCCTGGTAAACTGCAGAGGTAAAGCTAAGCCCTTTGCTGTCAACCCGCAAGCAAGGAGCTTCGCAATTGTTTTATTTCTGTGGATGAGGGCCGTATATAGAAAACGTTCCCCGTCATGGTTGTAGCAGGACGGTAGAATCACGCGGTAGTAAAGAAGAAACCGAAAGCATGAAGGGCATTCGAGAATAGTCCATGATACGGGATCTTTCGCCCTTTTTGGATGTCGGAGCATCCAGTCTATCCAAATTTTTTGACGATCTTGATAGACGCTGTCATAGTCGTTGTAAAGATTGCACTGCTTCTGGGTCTCTTTTCGGAGCCACTCTGTCTCCATGAAGCCAACCAAATTTTGCCGAAAACGAGAAAAAGTTTTAACTTGGGAGAGCAACACAGTCATATAAAGAACGGAGTGAAATTCGTCTCTATGTAGCGGCGAGAAAAGCCTCAGTTGAAGGATACGGTCTAGAAGCTCAGGAGGGAGACGTGCAAGATTGCTTAGAAAAAGAGAAAGATTGCCTTCGATAGGAACACATATTTCAAATAAGGATCTTCTGCTCAAAGAGAAACAACGAAGTTATAAACCTTACGAGGGGTGGAAGGTTTAGCTTGCCTTGAAGGCGCGGGCATATAAATAACAAACCACGCTAATGGTACAAGGCGGTGAAGAGGAGGCTAAGAGTCTCTCGGGCATAAGGCATCCATAATGCATTACGAAAGCTCCTAGGATTAGGGGTGATCTCGATGGATGCCTATAGATAAAGGAGATCCGAGCCTACTAGATCTCGTGATCTTATTTCGCACTTATCTAGGTGAACCAAGAATTCTTATCGCACAACCACACCAAAATCAGGGGATAAGGGATATGAAAACCATCCGACTTTTTTTTTCCCGACTCGCACTCGGGCCCAGAAGCTAGTCTTGCATTACCTGTGAAAGTAATGTCGCCCTAAAAAGAATACAAGAAACCCCCTGAGCTTGCATACGATCTGGGATCGCAGCGTGCGAGATGCGGCGAGGCAGTAGTGAACCGGAGATACGGGCAGTCAAGCTGACTTTGGACAGACCTCGTTCAAGTCCCAGGGGCTTCGTTAAGATTCGAACTCGTTGAGGCTCGGTGACATCCTGCACTGCAGACGTCGTTAAGGCTCAGCCGCGGGCAAGCTCGGGTGCAGCTGTTCTTCGAGACACGGGCACCTCCTGGGAGACACAGGGCCAATCTGGAAAGGGTTAGTAGTTGGCTAGTGGCAACCGACGGACCTCGTTAAGGCTTCGCCACGGGAATTCAATCGATCCTGTTCAGACATTGGTGACCAAGCTTTGTTAGTGGAGAGTGGCCAACATACACTGCCGGATGGATTGTATCTGAGGGCTCTCTGCAAGACACGGTCGGCCTGGTGGAGAGAGACCTCCCCAAGTAACGCGAAACAAGGGTGCGAGCTCTTGCGGGGCGTGGTATACAATGGCAGCCACTGCGACAGGGTCGGGGCCTGTTAAGAGACTGTCTGTATGGCCCGAGAGGACGGGTGCGCATGTCGGTATACGAAGAGCCGGGTGTCAACTACCTCACTCGCACTGGGGGGCCTGAAGTTGGTCTTGATCGGTTGAAGCGCTGTCGTCCTAGTTGACCTGCCCGTGATATTCAGTGTAATTCGCTGGGCTGCGGATCTCCTCCATTCTTCTGGCCTGTCGAGCTGTTTTGAGAGTCCATTTTGTCCGCAGGAGAAAGTCACGGCTCTGGATAATACGATTTCCATCGATCCTTAGTGTCTCATAGATTATGCAAACGCAGGTGACTATGTACGGGTTTCTATACTGTTAATTGATGCAGTCGGACTTTCGCTACGACTTGGTTGCTTTTCGGCGGACTGTTGAGGGTTAGATATGATATCTATGAACGCTCATTGAGGATATATATATTCAATCACACACCTCTTTCCCTATCGTTGAAAGTCTAAGAAACCTGACAAATAGACATTGTAGAACTTATCGTCATCAAAAAAAGCAGTTCAGAAGAGAAAACCAATAAAATAAAAGTTCAATATATCTACGTCATGATCACAAGTTCGAAAATTGAGTGTTGACAACTATGGCCAAGCTTCAACGGGTTGACCGACCGTGACCTCGCTTTCCGCAGTCGGGACGAACAGATCCAAAGCTCAACACGACCAACAAAACACTAAAGCGAGGCTAGGAAAAAAAAGTCCATGATTTCTAGGGATGAAATCGTAGGCGCTATTCGGTGATTTGACGTTGAGTCACTCATAGGTGTGGTGATCAGAACAAGAAATCTGAGCCTGTCATTGCGGATTGAATATCTCCCACGAAGCCTCAATTTAAGAGGGCCCTGGAAGGATTCGGCAATGAGCCAACGTTTCTTGACCGACTCAGCATCCTTTTTCTCAACAGCACTATTACTCGTCTCTCTCGCTGAGCATCTAATGGCATTAAAAATGTCGCTGCAAATAATTGCGGTAAGAGAAGACACGGGTTCCAACAAGCCTCAATTGAAAGAGGTGTCCCCAGCGCGTTCTACCAGGCAGAGCACTTGCGCAATAGAAGGAGCCGAGAAGCCTATAAATATGTCGTCTGCCCCCAGAAATTTGCTCTACGGTTTATTCACCTGACTCTGCAAAGTCGAACAGGCTTGCGTCTGAGCCACCTGATAATTTCTCCCCCTTGACCCAGAACCGAATTTTCCACTGTACTGACATCTATAGGATACATCGTGGACCAGCAAGCCAGTGCCCGTGAGAGATATGAGTCCCACCAGATGCACTGCCATTCACATGAGCCGATCAAAGATTTGAGTTTTGGACTAGCTGGTCAAGGTGTCCATACAAATATCTCCACTACAGCAGCCGACTGAGCTGATCTATTGTACATGTGTGTATCCCTTAGAGAAAGCGCAAATACCCACGTCGCAGGTATGTGAATCTTAGCCTGACCTTTCTGGATTCTACTGATCCTGAAGACTATGCGATTTCAATAGAACCGAGGACATTCCACTAAAATGCACGAGCGCAAGGACCACAGCTCTTTGCCGTCTCTTCGTCCCTACTCTTGGCTCTCTTCGTTTAAACGTGGCCAGCAGAACATGTGAGTCGTGGATTATCTCGCCTGTCTACAAGCCAATGAATGACAGTGAACCATTGACATCGCACCAGAGGGCCCCGAGGATACAGCATCCCGTTAGTGCCCAATACAAAGCCATGGCCTACACACTCTTCATCGCCCCGTCGCTCCAAAATACGCAGCATGCCGTAGGTGAGGTATATGAATCAAAAGAGCGGCCAATAAAGGTGCGAATATTCGATTGCGTGCTTCGCTGCATAGAAGCTTGAGACGGCTTTTCTTCCTGGCAATGTGTGTGATTTATCGCGTCCTCTGCTGCGCTACATCAGTTGTTTGTGCAGTTTCTTGTGCTCCAAAAACGAAGCCCATTACTGATTTTTATGCCACTACACATAGGAGCAGCCCATCGCCATCCGTGAAACATCCTTGTGGGGGGTCCTTTTATCGTCGGATCCAGATAAGACCAAGGTGGCACTACGACGCGTGCTCGATTGCGTCTTGCGCCATTGACTTTCACCGCCTTCTCACCATGAACGACGGGGTGTGTGAACCTCTCGCCGTCCCCATCGCGAGGTCTTATCCCATTACGACTGTACAATTTCTTGTCACAGGCGGGTTAGTCACGTGCCCTTGGGGCTCAGAAGTTGCCGGTGCACCCAGCGCGGCTTATGCGAAGCGACAGCCGGAGAGTGCGACGAACTGGATGGATACAACATCATGCCAAATGCCATGATGGTGACTGCATTGATGAAGACAATTGTAAGTGATCTAGTCAGTAAGATATGGCCACAAAAGCTAATTGATCGTCTCGTCTCAAGCGAACATTCTGCGAACTTTAAGAGCAGGTAAGTCATAACAACTCGTCCAAGTTGTTCAGCAGACTGAGCCATGCTCAGTCTGCTGATATGGTCTCAGACCTTCACCATTCGCCAGTCCAAACATGCCCTCATGTTATTATTTCACCCTTGGAATGCAAGGGCTGTTGAAAAAGCGACGTTTAAACGAAAATGCTGGGAGCATCTCTTTCTTGACCACCCAACATGGTTTCATCGCTTCGTTGGATCATTTTTCCTAGGCGGACTTTTCTTTTTTTCGTGCAAAATTCGTTGTCCTTCTTGTCCATCGTGCACATGAATCATCTGTCAACTTGGTTTGACAGACAATGTGGAATTCATGGGCAAAATATGAGGGTATCAACGATGAAAGGTCTAAGATCATTTAGTGAGTAATGACCTAAAATTCGTTCTAAATAAAGCTCCGAGTGTGGAAAGTATGGGTGGGAATTGGTTGACCTTGCACCCCCATTGCAAGCAAGCAAAGCACTCAATTCCGGTTCCACGATACAAATATCTATTAAAGCCAGTGTGCCCTCTCCTTTTACTGTACACCCAACCAGAATCAGGAACACTCGCCATCTCCTCGTGGCTAAAACGCAAGTATGGGTGGAATTCGACAAGTGTCGCACACTCATCGACGACAAGACTTTCGGGCCAGATTGCAACGTGCATTGTCTTTTCCGTCCTCCGAGTCTGAGAAAACTAACAGTCCGTCGGCGTCTGAGGCAGGCGATACAACCGAGGATGAGGCTTTGCAGGACGGAAATGACTGCTCTGACGACCAGGAATCAGCAACTCAACCGACGAGATTGAGGAGGCTCTACGGGAGCGGAGAAAGAAGTGTAGATATGAAAGGGACTTGCAAAAATCCGAACAGACTCAGGCAATGCGGTAGCTCTTGAATGTGTGGCGGAGTAAGTATCGACCTCATCACAGAATATGATTTCGGATTGCCTGCTGACAACTTCCAGTCTAAATATCCGAATGAAGTCAGTTGTGGATCAACCTTCGGGTGAAAACATAAAGCGCTAATCTTCTATACAGGTCAATTGAGAGCTCATCGTATGTCCAAAGTACCTGCAATAAACCGTTCGCAAAGACTTGGCTGATATCTTTGCTCGATTGGCAATCGTGGAGACTGAGATGAAGAAAAAGGCAAAGCAGGGCAACAACAAAGCTACAGGGGCACCGGCCGATCCCTGCGTCGGGGCAACAGTGATTGAAGTTATATGTACTTGATTTTCGACCATTTGGACTAGAGCAAGGTATCAGCTCGTGTTGGTGCTAAGGTATGGGTACGAGTGTTCCGACTGCCAAAGACTAAATGGAATAGCCAGCAATTCAATAGCTGCCCATACATTGGTGGGCTGCTGAAAATGTGTCGATGGGTCAATTTCACACTGACAATGTGTCAACTCCTGTACCATCTTGTCATCGTGCATTGAGACCACTTGTTTCGCCAATCCTCCACCAAGTTACCAACTACTTAGGGATATGAATGGAAATGTAACTTAGCGTACCGAAAGCCTTGCCCAAACAAAGAAAGTATTTGAAGAACAACGGGTTAGATTGCAAATTATTTGGTATTTATTGAGACTGTTGCTAATACGTGATCCTCGATTTGATGCTAGTGGTACAATGCCCGAAACCACTTGACTCGCGGATAGGCCACTCAATGAAAAGATTGCTTCCACGTGGTTGGGCGTGATGGCCTCGTAATTACGAGCTTGTGCCGATAGAGTATCAGACAATAGACTTGATGAATGGTGCTTTTTGAGTGCAACTTTCCAAATTTCGTTACCTAACCCAGCAAGTTCTTGGCCAAAACATTCCATCACCATCTCCACTTGAAGAACTTCTTTTCGGAGTTTCTCCCGATACTCATCATCGGAGCCAAAAGTAGCCACACGCCAAATTCTTTTCCACCTATTAATTGCTCGAAGGGCTTTGTCGGACTGACTTTGGATGCCGGTCGCAACCATATAGAAGGACGATTTGCTTGGCATGTGAAGGAGGAGAATCATGGTCCCGCCGGGTCGGAGAAACTGAAGACCAAGAGATAATTGCGTCACTATTAACCGTCTAGCTTCAGGGACTTCTCGATAGGCGGCGCGTTCATGTTTTCTGAGGACTTGGCCGTCACAGATGGCTACTTCAAATAGTTGATTTGACTCAAATTGCCGCGGCAAGAAATTCTTGGCATCAGGGTGACCATGGGGGGTCTGTTCCATGCCCATATCTGTAGCGAGCAGAGTGATATCTAGAACCTTTGTTCAACGCTCGGGTTTTTAGGCAGGCGGCTTCTGTGGCCTCCACATGTAATGGGCAAGCTGAAAGCAAGGGCGCGCGATCCGGGGTTTTTGTTCAAGGCAGTTATGAGAAAGCCCCCAGGTGCCATGCACATGTCAAGGATATTGATAGGCCCAGGGCAAGCTTGTTGTATTGTCAGGGCAGTAGTGGACTGATGAAGCTCTTCTGCTATTTCATCATCAACTTGTGGAAAAATATCGCCGCCCGTTCCTCGCATTCATCGACCTCTCGACGTTGTACTCGGAAGTATTTATCGCCTTTAGGGTTCTGCCATCCCTGTTTTTAATTAATTAAGGTATGGTATTTTGATTGGATATTACTTGCTCTTTGTCGCAGGTCGCAGAGTTCTCGGAAGTCAGAACTGTTTTTTAAGAGAGAAGGCACAATGAACTGACTAGCATATCCTCTGTTGCTTTCATCGCGGAGATCTTCATGGCCATGACAAACTGAGGACATTTGAAATGATCTTCGGGCGAAGTGAGGACTCCCGCGTCTGCTTTGGTGGTGTCAAGAGAGTACATCCTTTGATGTTATACAAGGAAGTTGGCTTTTATTTCAAAGCCAGATACAGAGAAATAGGTGATGAGAAGTATGGAAAGAGCGTGGTGGTTTTCCTTTATCGTGAATGACGAAGAGACACGTGTAACGAGTTCAATATGATTCCATATATATGCTGTTCATGGTCTCATGGGCCACAACAAATTTTAAAAATTCCCGACTCTATGATTAGGATCTATGAGTTTGATTGGTCGTTTGAATTACATCTGTGTACAATGCCGCTGTTATGAGATTCCTACAGCTAAACCTCCCTTTCCTTGTTTGTAACGATCTTGCGTGGCCGCGGCGCAAGAGATCATGCAACTTCCTCTTAATCAAGATGACCCTGACCTGAATCGTCTAAGTGCATGGAAACAACAAGGTATATCACACGGTGAAGTCACCTAAGAGTGACCACTCAAGAACGCACAACATTTCAATGCAAGTTGAAAATAGCAATGCGGTCCGAGCTGGGCGCCTACAGCTCTCAGTTCATTAGCCAACGATGGCACCTCACCACGTCAGGCTTGGCATGAGGTACCAAATAGAGCCAGGTGCTGTCAAACCCCCGTCAGGAACAAAGGTCCCAAAGCTAAAACCGCTTGCGTGGCCGTTACAATTTTGCTTTCTAGGATGTGTTAAAGCCGATTAGTACCTGCCATCGGCCAAGGGTATTACAGATAGAGCATCATCTAAATAACTATTCCACTGTGTAAAAAAGGGTGCCAGTCGTTGAGTTCTAGTGAACAGACCCGTCCCTAGGATCACCGACAGGATCAACACGGGCCGCAATTTCTGCGCCCTGGAGCTGCGTCCCGCCAAGATATGCAGGAAAATATCACATGCGAAAGCGGGCACCATTGAACCACGGCACTGAGATGCAAACGTGAAGTTATTGGTTTGAAGTGCCCGGGATCACGGGATGTGGACTCTCGAGTGTCATAAAACAGCGAGTTGTTGGGCATCTTCGGTTCATTCAAGCTTTTGGTTTCCTCAGACCTGTGGCATTGAGCATAAAGCTGTGCGAGTTGAATCGGGCAGGACAAATATTAGAAAATATCTTTCACTTCGTCTTTCCTCATAGGCGGGCATCATTTCGCGTGGGCATTCACATTGAGCTTATCAGATCATACTGGCTGATTTACTGCGCCCGACACCCCTTTTGATGTGTCATTTTAGCGCTGATGCGCGTGATACGCACGGCTTCAGAACATTAGCCAAATTGCTCCAATCACAATGACTCATAAGGGTACATTGGAAGATATAAAGTGCCAAGAGTCTAACTCGATTTGGGATATTATATATAACACGGGGCTCTCAAGAAACCGAAGTGCGCATATTGACGTGGCACGATGAGCATCGGAAGCCACGTTTTCAGTGTCAGGGTACCGTAGCCCTGCTGCATGGTTGCATCCAAATCACATGTGAGTATGCAGAGATTGTATCGAGGGTTCCGACTAATGATAAAAATAGGGACTTCCATTATTCAAAGCCGCGGGTGAGTCTTTTTAGGTTTGCGGAGAATTTTGAAAACCAGACTATTGTTCACTTTGGCACAATAGCAAGCTTACAGACATGGCAAATAAATCTGACAACGAGGAGACTACTCCGAATATCAGCACTGAATGAGTTTCACTGTAAAGTCAAGAGCCTTCGAAGACATAGAAAATTAGCTGTGACCACAATAAAGGTTCACAATGGCCCTCGCGTAACAGACGGAAACTTGCGGTGCAATTTTCACAATAATCGGATAAAGGTCCACGGCCGTTGTTAAAGATACAGGCTGCGCTAGCTCCCTAAGTCTGCTTTCCCACCACACCAAAGCACAACGATATAGCGTGCAGTATGCGCTGAGATAGCAACAAGTCCAGCAGTACAAAGCATGAAGATCTCACTATTCAGCACGAGCATAGTGACGGCTAAAGGAATGATAGCAGAAATATTGCCAAATTTAGACTGGAACATACGAATCTGGTACTTTGCTGGAATGATGAGATAGATGAATGCCGAGGGGAATTGCTATCTTCGATTCAGGAGCGCCAAGAATTCCTCTCTGGCATTTGCACTCGACCGCATGCATCCCACCATGCAGCTTGTAGTTGTGGTGCTCCCGGCCTTCTGTACGCCGCGCATGACCATGCAAAGATGAGAGGATTCCATGACAACAGCGACTCCCCGAGGATTGAGCGCCTCAGAAATGGCCAGAGCAACCTGCTTGGTCAGGCGCTCCTGAACCTGGAGTCTGCGGGCAAACATTTCAACTAAGTGGACCATTTTGGAAAGACCAAGGATGCGGCTATCCGGGATGTAGCCGATGTGCACCTGCCCATATGTTATTCTTTGCGCCAGGGATGCATACAAAAAACTCGTACCTTTCCAGTAAAGGGAACCATGTGGTGTTCGCAGAGGGAGAAGACATCGATATCCCTCAAAATGACTAGTTCATCGTGGCCCTCGTGGAACACAGCTCCATTAACCAGGTCATGGACATTCTCCGCGTAGCCCTTGGTAAAATAGAGCATGGCATTGGCATATCGCTCCGGTGTCGCACGTAGACCTTCTCTCTCTGGTTCTTCACCAACGCATTCAAGAATCGTCCGCACAGCCCGCGCAAGCTTCTGGACTCGCTCTTCATGTTGTCCCTGCGTCGACTCCAACTGTTGTCTTGCTTCGAGGTCTAGTGGGTATGGCACAGAAGGGAAGTCTTCCTTGCCATCCCAGGGCTCGTGAGGCGACTCATTGAATGTAGGTCGGCAACTGATCAAGAATCAGAAATAGTAGAGGAAATGACCAACATGAACACCATACCGTAAGATCACTGTGGTATAGGCGGCTCCAGTATCTTGGGTAGCGAGACCAGAGGCGGGGGCGCCGGCAGGCCCCTCCTCAACTGAATTTAACTCAAGGGGAACGCGACAAGCGAATGAAGGGTTGACGGGTGAACCGTTGTTCTGATGTTTAGGGGCATCCTGACCGCATTCACCAGAGCTAGGGCTCGTGGAAGAACACAAGGGGGATCTATCGTTCAGCATATGGGACGGAAAGGTCGACGCCTTCGAATCTGGTGAAAAGGATCTAGAGTCCATGGCTATGAGGAAACCAAGAATATTGGCCTTCTTTTTATCGGAAACAAATGCTATGTCCTGACTTGTCAGCATGATATACGTTGCACCAAATAGGCAGGGAGTCGAGTAAATCACATGCAAGAGTTCTGACTTCATTTAACAAATTATCGTTCAGGCTTGCACCCATGACCCCGCTCCAACTGACATTGCACAGGTGCCCATCGCTGTTGGGTAGACCCAGTCCGTAGGTTGCTAAACCATGAGTACATTTCCGCGCAGCTCTCACTTTCCACTTTCAACATCCATAAAATCTTTCATGCAGAACGGAAATGGCCACCCTCGGGTCTCTCAAATGGGCCCTCAGACAGAAAGCTACAGAAAAAGGGTCATGCTCGAAACAACCATTGTCAGACTTGCAGTACAGCGCTGGCTTCGATACCCTGGTGCGGGACTCAGAATGGATGACATACCAAGACTTTATTATCCCTCAAATCTGTCAGCTTTTGACCCAACTCTTCAGCTCGCGTACCCGTATTTCGGTGTTAGAAATCGGGCCGGGTCCGAAGAGCGTCCTTGGGCATCTACCTAGCCATCTGAGACAGAAGGTTAAGAGATATTCTGCGTTTGAGCCTAACAGCATATTTGCTACAAAGGTGCAAAAATGGCTTTGTCCTCAGTCGGACATGGAGTCCCCATTGCCGTGTCTGGAAAGTGCGCCCGACATCTATCGCATGCCATTTATTCTGAACAGCCCTAAAGATGGCGGCACAGGTGGCGCTACGTGTGGCAGTGATGAGAAATTCGACTTCGTTATATTTTGCCACAGTATGTACGGCTTAAACCCAAAAGCCAAGTTCATCGAACAAGCACTTGGGATGCTTGTTGAGCAGCCCGAAGGAGGTATGGTGGTAGTGTTTCATCGGGATGGCACCCTTGACCTTGACGGGTTAGTAAGCAATCAAACGGCTTCTTTCTCAACCGGAGTAATTCGCGTGCCAAATGACGACGAGGTACTGGACCTTTTTGCTCCTTTCGTCGCGGGTTTTGTCATGCATGATGCGGAGTCGGACAAGTTTCTCCGAGCCGAATGGCGTAAGGTGTGCCGCGCCTTGAGCCGCTGTGAGGATGCTTACCCAGAGCATCTCTCTTTCAGCTCGCCCAACTTGATGGTGGCCTTTACCAAACAGGCGACGGCATTACCGGAGCTGACGGCTCATGTGCCACTTTTGAAAGGAGACGTAACAGTTAAAAACAGGGAGGCTAGCCTTCACCATCCCGCCTCGATTTTTAGGCCGACAGAGATCCGACACATCCAGGAGTGCGTCCGATGGGCTCTGAAGCATGGGGTTGGCCTGACCGTTGTTGGTGGGGGTCACAGCGGCCACTGCTTATGGCCCAACGTTATTGCGGTCGACATGAGCGCCTTTGGCCAAGTACACATCCTGCCGACTGGGGATGATAGTGCAGGATTCGGTTTCGACTGCGTTGCCTTAGTCGTCGCCGAGGCCGGCTGCAAAACGGGCGATATTGTTCGCAATGCCATGGCAGCGGGCGTAACGGTGCCCTTGGGTGCCCGCCCAAGCGTAGGCGCGGGGCTGTGGTTACAGGGTGGCATCGGGCATCTGGCTAGAATATACGGCCTTGCGTGTGATGCCATTGTCGGTGCCGTAATTGTCAGTGTCGACTCTAGCCAGGTCTTCTGCATCGGCTATGTGCCAAGCCAACACCAGCCGGTCGGTGCCGTGCGCCCGAAAAATGAAACTGACTTGTTATGGGGGATCAAAGGCGCTGGTACCAACATTGGCATCGTAGTCAGCGTGACTTTCAAGGCTTCCGCATCTCGGACTTACTCAGTTCGTAATTGGGTTGTCCCATTGAGTGACAGCCTTGAGGCGCAGGCCAAACTTAGCGAATTTGATGAACATGTCGCCAGGGTGCTCCCCAGGAACTGCTCTGCAGACGCATATCTGTACTGGGATGTCGGCCACCTGCATCTTGGCGTGACCATGTTTGAATCTTTCGAGACTGGGCTCGGCTCTGAAATGCCAATTTCCATGCCTCTATCCAAGCCTATGGGCACAATTTTGGGACCAGAGGACAATTTCGAGTCTGTGGATGGTGTCGGTTTGTTCGAGTCTGAGATGTACATGTCCGGGATGCACGGTGGACACAGCGGCAGCAGAACCTCCTCGTTCAAGCGATGTTTATTTTTAAAAAATATCGGAACACAGGAGATCACTAACACCTTGGTGACGGCAATTGAGATTCGTCCTTCGCCACTCTGTTACCTCCATCTGCTTCAAGGTGGCGGAGCGGTTGGCGACGTAGCAGCTGATGAAAATGCCTTTGGCTGTCGAGATTGGGACTTTGCCTGTGTTGTGACTGGTGTCTGGTACCGCGACCAAGATGGAACCGAAGTTGCCCGAGCTGCCGTGTGTTGGGTATATAAAATCGCCATGAACTTGTTGCCCTTGAGTAGCGGCGTTTACAGTGCAGATCTCGGACCTGACACCGGAGACGCCGCACTGGCGGTCAAGGCTTTTGGACCAAATCGGCCGCGTCTCGCCCGTCTCAAGCACACCTCAGACCCGCGCAATGTGCTGGCATACGCCTGCCCTCTCTCAAAAGCACCGATGGAACCGAGGCTCATTATTCTCGTCACAGGAGATAGCTGCGCCGGCAAAGACTATTGCGCCGACGTCTGGGTCTCCATGTTCCTCAAGTGCACCCAAAAAGGCCTCGTGGCGCGCGCAGTCAGCATCAGCGATGCGACTAAGCGAGAATACGCGGCGGCTACCGGTGCCGACCTGAACTGTCTGCTTCAGGACCGTGTCTACAAAGAGCAACACCGATCAGCGTTGACAACATTCTTCCAGCATCAGGTGTCAAATCGACCTCGGTTGCCCGAGGAGCATTTTCTAAATGTGGTATATGGCGCTGCAGATGTAGACGTGCTGCTAATCACCGGGATGAGAGATGAGGCCCCGGTCGCGGCCATGTCGCATTTAGTGCCGGATAGCAGACTGCTTGAGGTTCGTGTCAAAGCTAGCAAAGACACGCGGCGTGCTCGCCGAGGATGTCAAGGCGGTGATGATGATGGTGACAACAGCAGGCCAAAACCGAAGCCCTTCGACTGCCGCCCTAGTGTCATCTTCGACAATGACACGGTTGGAAGCGAGGCGGCTAAAAGGTTTGCCGAAGTCCACCTGCTTCCTTTCTTCGATGAGGGCCTTCAGCGACTGGCAAACATGGTGCGCCTGGTACCCCACTTTCCACGACCTGGCGTCGAATTCCGTCACGTGCTCAACATATCCCAACAACCGGGTGGGCTGAACCTGTGCACATCTCTGCTACAGGCTCACTTTTCCGGTGAATGGGCCAAAGCCGACGTGGTTGTGTGCTGTGAGGCCGGCGGCTTTGTCTATGCGTCGGCGCTGGCCTTGCGGGTCGATTTACCCTTGGCGCTAATTCGCGATGCCGGAAAACTCCCCCCACCCACTGTTTCCGTCTCCAGGTCTACGTCACACATTTCATCTTCGACATCCAACGACCGAAAAGAAAATAGGATCGAGATGGAACGGGATTTGATTCCCAGGGGTGCCTCAGTGGTGGTGGTGGACGATGTGCTTGCTACGGGGAAGACACTTTGTGCGGTGCTAGATTTGTTAGATAAGGCTAACGTCGGTGCTAAGGATATCAGCATCATGGTCGTGGCTGAGTTCCCTGTTCACCGCGGCCGGGAATTATTGCGCCAACGCGGGTTTGGCGGAGTCAATGTCCAAAGCCTTTTAGTCTTTAGTGGTGCTTAAGGGAAGGATGACAGGATTTCGGAATCTTGGGCTTGTGATCGAATTCAACTTCTTTCACGTCTTTTTTTTTAAAAAGGTGATAGGTTTCATGACCTCAACCTAGATAAGGTAATTTTTGCTTATTTGCAAACGAACCAATGCAATAATACGTGTTCGTGTAAAGACACTCAGTGCAAGTGCCAGGGGGCTATCAAGGGAGTATTCTGTGTATTAGACAAAATGGAGGCGCCCCATGTCAAGACACGGTCAAACTGATATATGCGGTACAGTAGAATTATATAATGAATCTGTTCAGTCATAATGAAGCTCAGTGAAAGCAATGGACTATCAATGGACTACTCTATAAGTTTGGCAAAATAGTGATAGTAATGACCTTACGTTGTTAGTGTTGAAAATCCAGGTTAATTCTCATTAATACTGGCCTCTTTTATAAGAGCAACGCTAACCCTAACTCGGCATCAAGAATGCAGATCCCATACACGAAGGATCTGCACTCAGGCTCCTGCCTGAAGAAGCCTGGCTCCCCCGGCTATATGCAGTTTGATCATGACATTGCTGTCCTCAGTATACAGGTCGTTATCTCACTGCATCAGCGCTTCGGTATTCCAATTGAGCCTGCTTTCAGTCAGTTTTTGCTTCTTCTTGTTGTTGATTGTTTCTCACCGAGTCCTGTTTTCTCACCGAGTCCTTTCTATTCTACCATAATGGGGGTATACGAAAAAGGAGCATAAAGAGATGCTCCTTTCCATGTATGAAGAAGATAGACAAATCAATTATTACTTTTCACAGTATATTGGAATTTTCATATTCATAGTGTTTTTCATATATTATCTTTGATCTCAATTACATACATGCTATACAGATCGTGTTTCTGTATTCAACAGTTAGATGAGTCATCGTAATAATACCGTGATATATAATAGAACCACGTCGAATCCTTGGGGAGTTGTGTAGTTAGTTCGGAGGATGCGCCGTCGTTAGGGCACGATGAGCCGCCGCCCGCTTACTGGAGGGGGACGAGAAGGTAGTGCGTCACTCTACATTTTGACATGCAGCAGATTAGCCACCTGGCTACATGTCACCTCTGGATTCGCCCACGTAAACGTCCCTGAAAGACAGAGCTTGTTGATTTGCTGAAAAGTGTCACAAATATAGAGCTCTTCCATTGCATGTGGAAACTATTCGCGCTTACCACCCCGCCCTAGGTTAATTCTTCCACTGCGAAGTGATTTTCACGCACCCCTTATATCTGATACCACGCTGTGGTCCTGCCTTGAACGTCAGAAAAGTCGAGTTCACAACTTAGCTGGTCATAAAAATTCTGCTTTATCGAGCCTCGACGGACTAAAATTGGGCTCCAAAGTGATTCACCTTTGATCCCCTATCCAATTCCGTCAAATTTCTTCTCAGTCAAGTAGCCAATCTACTTGATCACACAACGCTTTCTAGATTTCAATATGCCAGTCCTCACGAAGCAGTACCATCACTTTATCCCTCAATTCATCCTCAAACAATTTGCATATACCGAGTCGCCAACCAAAAGGTTCGACCTCAGATCATTCCGGAAAGCGTGTGAGTTATACCTGCTGACAAAACTTTAGTTCCGGAAACGGAAACGGCCTTTTGAACCTATTTGACCTACAAACCAACCAATTCATCACCGAAGAGGTCAAAAGGTCATGCGGAATGTACAATCTGTATTACATGGAGAATGACCCGGAACATATGAGAATCAAGGATCTTTTCAGCGGCATAGAGAGCCAGACGAGCCAGATATTTATCAAGATCAGAAATGCCGCAAAGGAAAAACTCGACCATGTCAATATCCTCGAGAAGAATATTCACCTTTTATTCAAGTTTATGGTCCTCTCCCTCCGACGCCCCAAGCAGTACCGAGACGAAATGCAAAATCCATACCGTGAGAATGACTTTATGTTCCAGCGCCTCGAAGAGGCATCGCGAAAAGAGGGTCGATCCAGCGATCCAGGAGAAGTCTGGCTTGAGCAAATACTATATCTTTTGAAAGCGACCCACGAGGACCTTCTTGCAGATGCAGAGCGTCCTGGTGATAGCACTTCTAAAGCCAGTGCGCAGACCTACAAGCACTTTATCGAGAATTACGCCCTTCAGATCTGGCACGCGGCGGATGGCTACGAGTTCTTTCTCAACGAGAGTCTCTGTGACTTTGAGGGCGATACCCAATCGTTCCTGGGAAACAGAAACAACCGAACACGGGCCTCAGCTTATGTGGATGACCACAGATGACATGATACACGTCATTCTTCCTATAAGCCCGACACTTGCTGTCGTGTTCTGTAACGAATCAAGATGCTGGGAGTCGCCATTCGCCGATGCTATAATTCGACACGAGAAGACCTACCCGCAGAACAGCTTGCTGGCAAAAGCACCGCACAAGGATATTGTCACTGGCCAGGTACCAGCCACGAGGAAAGGAAGGAAACGATGGCCCGCAACGGTAGACTGGAGAGTCAGTATTGGCAAACTTTCACAACAGCACCATCGAGTCATCGCGTCCTACTCACTCAGTCATGCTCGCTCAATCGTCGTCTTCAACAGTAGAGCGCGATTTGAAAAGGCTCAAAAGGAACTGGAAGTATTTGCCAAGCAAAGAGAAGAAGTTTGGACGAGGCAGGGAATTCGATACGGTCAAATGAGTGGGCAGCAATATGCTCATGAAACGACGGAGCTCAGTCCAGAGCGGTTGAACAGGATGGTAGATTACCATATATCTGCCTTGGACGAAGTTCTACATATCATAAGAGTCACTCAGGAAATCCCACCGCGAAGCAAGGAAAACTCTTGCAAGTTCTGGTTCGCTTTCAAGGCTATTCTATCATTTGTCGCTGCAAAAGCAGAGTCCCCTGAGACGGTGCCCATCATGCACCCTGCTATGCTAGCAGCATTTGAATCCCTTTATCCTCCAAAACAACCAGAACATAAAGATCTTTTTATCATGGACTTTGTCGGGTTTCTCGACTACAGCATGGGCGAAGCAACATTTGCCCAACTTATTTCCGAAATCGAACAAACGATCTCGGAACGGATTACAAAGGTTTCCTTCCTAGCTCCAGAGCTCCAGAAGTATGAGAAATTGCTTGGACTCGTTCTGGGATCTATGGCCCCGAAAGTTGATGGAACAGACCAGCCCTACCCTCCAGCAGAGGATCTCCACAGGCAACCCTGCTTTAAAGCAATTTTCGGAGCAACTCAGACATTCCATATATTGAGATGGATGTTCGAAGAGCGACAAGATATTCTAGCAACCTTTGTTCAGCGGTGTGCTGTGCCTTTGAAGGATGCACAGCCCAATCTCATTCGCATGCGTGCGAGGAGATGATTCCATCGGTACACTACGTATTTTCGATCTACTATGCTGAGTATTATCGGAGAGGGTGGCACTTTGACTACGAACAGATTTGGCTCCTTACTGGATAGTTATCTGGAGAATCTCTATTTATTTTCTGGCTTATTTTTCCCCTTGGTGTTTCTCATTCGATACGTTGGAGATTGTTCTGCCTGGGTCTGCAAGAGGTACCACATGGGCGTTGTCCCGTCTTTTTGTCTTTTTATCTTTTCACCACCTCGCCATGGCTATACCTATCGAAAAAATTGACGGAAGTAAATAAGTAAAAAAAAGAAAGATAAATTAAACGACAAGTCTAATCTTACACAGCTCCCAGGTATTATGTCCCTCCACCAATCTAGTGAGAAGAGTATTCGACCAGGATACTCAAATGAACATCAACCATCACAAAAAAAGAGAGCCAAAATCTATCCAAGGCGAAGTGAAAGTATGGGGTATCAAGTGGCGGGTATCGACGACAGACACGACGTTCGGGGGTCATATAGTGACGTGTCTTAAATTTTAACAACGCCTAGCCCCACACCCCCTTGATTATATAATATACTACCAGCCAAAACCTCAGTGAATTCATACTATAGAATCTAGTACGGCGTATACCACCCCTCGCTCTTAATGATAGCCTCCACCCGGTACGGCATCGTCTCAGAGAGATGCTGCAGATGCCGCAATTCCAATTCATTCTATGCCTACTGCGTAGTAGCTACCAAAATCTCCTTTACAGTGTCATTATTCCCTATATATATAAGATCAGGCCGTAGCTTATAGATCTTAGCTTTCAATAAGGCCTAGAGATTCTCAATTGGATTCAAATCTAGCAAATAAAGAGGCCATTCTATAACCTCGATCTATATCTTAGCTAATATATCGCGTACTATATACGTAGTATATATAGAAGCATTATTATATTAAAAGATATAATCTTTATTCTTAAGTAAGATAGGTAGGATCCGTGTAAAGATATACAGTCTGTAGGTATATGGCCTATCAACCGGGTAAGATACAATGGCTGTGGGAGAGGATCAATGTATTGTCTCTATATACTAAGACTAATTCTTATCGAATTTAGGGGGGCCTAGGGGGCCCTAAGATTTTAGGAAAATAGTATACTAAGAAATAGGGCCGATTATATAATAAACCCCGCTTATTTTGGCTATATTACCTCTAATACGCCTATATTAGCTAATCCCATTTTATAATTAAAAGGACCTTTATCCTTTATAATTATCCCCTCTCTTCTAGGAGGATATCTCTATCCGAAATTAGATATAGATCTAGAAATAGGTATTAAGATAATAAAATAATAAAGTATTAGAGAGGAGCTAAAAGTGATTTAATAAAAAAGGTATATTTAGAATAATATAAAAGACCTTAAAATAATCCGAAATATTATATCTTTATATACTACAATCTATATAGATGTAGTATCTATTTTATAGATTTAAATTATTAATTAACCTTTTTAAGCCTTAATTATACCGCTAATTTAGTATAAAGTTTAGATAAAGTTAAAATATATATAATATATATAATATCTTTATATAGCTATTAATTAGTATGATACTAGAGATACTAACAAATTATGCTTAATTAAATATATTTTTAATACCGAAAATTCTAAAAAGTATTAATAGTATATTAGTTAGTATATATATTATAAATATCCTATAGATAATATATAAAGAGATACTTATAATTTAATAGCGATCTTTAACTAAGCCGCTATAATAATAGATACTATATATAGGATAATAAGTATCTTAAAGCTATTAATAAAGGAGTTATAAGTCTACTAAAAGACTTTATTATTATATACTATATATATATTATAATTCTATAGTCTTTAGCGGTAATACTATTTAATAAATTACTAATATATAAAAGAAGGATTTCCTAGTTCTTCTATATAAATTATAACTAATAAAGGATCGAATTAGTAGTATTTTAATATTTAAATAGTATCCCTTTTAGTTTTAATAATTTTAGTAGAAATAGTAGATATAAGTTTATTTTAATTATATCTTAATTGTGACGATCTGAGAAGGGTTCTGCCAAAGGTTTCCGCCTTAGTTGTTATTTACATATGACAGGACCCCATATATAAAGGATCTCTAACCTTAAGGATCCTTTCTTTCTTCTCCTTTACTTCTCTATACTTAGTATTCTCGTTAAATACACTCTTTTTAATTAAAGATCTAGCTAGTAATATAATACTAAGTACCACTCTTATTTCTTTAATAGTATATCTGTATAGACTATTATTATAATTAGTCTCGGCCCTATTACCTCTCTACTTTTATTCTTTAGTATTTTATAGCTAAAACCTCGATCCCGATCCTAAACTAAAGTCTCTAACTAATTAAAATAGCCGGATCGAAAAGAAACCTACTAATAAACTAAGGTAAATAGCCTACTATTATACCTAAAAATAATAAAAATTATAAATAAAAGATAGTCGCTACTCTCGATCTAAATACCCTAACTTCTAATCTATAGAGACTAGTTAATACTAATAAATATAATAAAGAAGATAAATCCTTAATCTATAAATATCTATACTAAACTTTAAGTAAAGAGCGGTTCTATAAACTCGCTTATAATTATAAGAAATTAAAAGATAAGATCTAGTAATTTAAAGATAAAGTAACTATCCTTTAGACTAAAAAAATTAAAACCGAGATTCTAATTAAAATATTTATTTAAAAGCGTGATAAAGCTACTATTTATCGGGATATTATAATTTATAAGTATAGTAATCTTACCTTTCGTTTTATAAATATCTAGAATTAGATTAGTTCTAGTATACCGATTATAGAGGCCGCTACTACTTATAAAACTATAAAGATATCTAATACTCTAATATTAAATAATAGAAAGAAAGTCCGTTTTAAAATCTAAGAAACTATAATTCGTTAGAAACTTAAAGCTAATACTAACTATTATCCTCTACCTATTTATTATAAGTTTTATATTTAGAATCGCTATAAAAGTAAAGCCTAGTTATATATTACTTTTTAGATAAGTACTAACGCTAGTATCCTTTATAAAAACGCTAATAATATTATCCTTTATCTAAAGACTATCTTTATAAACCTAAATCGATATACTAAAGTCTATACTATATACTATAAGCTTAAAATAAAGCTAAAGGATAGTTTTACTAATTTCTTTATAGAATTTATATAGCTTATTAAAGAGGTAGTAGTTATAATCGAAAACCGGAAGCGAGATTTATACTCTAAACTCCTCTATCTACTTTAAAGTTAAATTATATAGATAATTAATTAGGAATCTATTTTATTCGATACTTTTATCTAGAATTATTAAAATATATCCTATAAGATTAGTCTATAATAAGAAGTAAAGTCTACTTCTTATATATAATCTATAATAGCTATCTTAAAAAGAAATAGCGGTATATCTTTAATAATAGTAAACTAAATATATACTTTTCGGGTAAAGTGTAAAAGAAGTATTAATAATACTAAAATATCGCCTATTAAAAGAGAGACTTTAATAAAAGAAAGATAATATTTCTATTATAAAAAGTAGGGATATATAACTTATAAATATCTAAAGAAAAAACCGATTTTTATAGCTATAGCTACTATTCTTACTACTTCTATACTTTATATTAATAAAATTATAGAACTCGAAGCTAATACCGATACTAACTTAGAAAAAGCCTATATTTAGATAAAGTCTCTTTCTTAGGTAGAAGAAAGGTATTACTATTTTCGCTAGATTTATAAAAGTTAATTAGAGATTTTAGAAATAGCTTAGTTTTTAATATTTAGCTAATATATAATAGACGCTTATTTTCTATTTTAGTATTTAGTAATACTAAAATAGATAGATATATTTTTATTAATTTAGTAATAATCCTATTATTAGATAAGTGTTTTAGAATTAAAGTAGAATAACTAAACTATAAATATCTAATATAAAGATTTAATAATAAGCTAGTAGAACTAATATATTATACCGCTATTTTTATAATCTATATTAATAGAAGAATATAATAATAGATTCCTATACTAATTATAGATTTTAGATAATATAATATAATCCTAAAATAGATATAGTTTATAGAGTATAATATTCTTTTTAACTACCGATAATACTATATAATCTAGCTAGATAAAAGAATATTATTCGATAAAGTAGTAAGTAAAATCTCTATCTTAATACTAAAAGCTATTTTATAAAGATCTTTATAAAATAAAGTCTATTAGAAAGATATAAATTATTAAAATCGCCTTTTAAAGTAGTTTTAATAAACTAACTAACTTTAAAATAGTATTTATCTTTATATTTATAAATAATAATATAGCTATTAATAAGTAAAGGAATAGAGAAAGATAGTTTAGAATATTAATAATAAAATCTCTAATATTCTAATCTCTTTAGAAAAAGAAGAAGATTTAAAACTACTACTACCTTCTATTAATATTAATACTATTAGTAGAGCTAGATTCGATAGATTATAATTAAAGATAAAAAGAGATTTAAAGAGTAAAGTTAAGATTTTTATAACCTTACTTTATAAGATCGATCGAATTCTTTCTATAAAATCATCTATTAAAAAAAGATCTTAAGCTCGATAAAATTAAGAGAACGTTACTAAAGGAATATTATAACTTTATCGAAGTATTTTTAAAAAAGAAATTAGATAAACTACCTCTATATCGGCTAGATATAGATTATAATATTATTCTTAAAGCTAAAGCCTAATTAGGATACTATTCTTTCTATAAGCTTTCCTTTAATAAATTAAAAACTAGAAAGTAGTATATTATTAAAAATCCTAATAAAGGATTTATCGTTCTAAGTACTATATTATATATTTTACTAATTTTTATAGTAAAGAAATCTAGTAGTAGTCTCTATTTTTATATAGATTTCTAGAAGCTAAATATTATTATAAAAAAGGACTACTACCTTTTACCTCTAATTAATAAAGTTCTATAGTAAAC